TTGCATTTTGAATAATTTGAAAATTGGCAATAAACATTTAGTTGTTCTCAGTGAAAAATTGTTTTAAACTTAAATATTCTAATTTAAAAATTACGAAAATTAATTTTCAAAAATACATGAAAAATTTATTTTTGTAGATTTTGATTAGTATTAGTGAAGAAAACAAATTTAAAGAAAAGTAACGGCATTCTTGACTTGTAGGCATTAATTAACTATTTAAAAATTAATATTGAATCAAATTTAATGATTAGAATATAAATTCATTCATAACCATGGATTTTTTCTTTTAATAGTTAGTTAATTTCATAATTGTATAAATTTATTTCTCTCTGTAATGTTTCGAGATTAACTTCATACATTCTCGGAACTGTTAATAAAATAAAATTTTCCTGGATGTCAATGAATTCGTTCAATATAATTAATTCAATTCGAATATCCTATTATTTTATCAAACAAATTTTTAAATATTTCCTTACTACGAAAAGTTTGTGAATATGTTTAAGTAACAGGAAGTTCCTTCGCTGTTTTTAATCGTGTTTCTCAATTATCTCGCAAATCCAAAATTAAATGTCCGATTTGAGCGCTAAATTAAGTTGTTTCTTTGAACGAATTTCAAGAAATTTGTTTAAAGAATTTTAAAGATAATCTCTAAGTTATTCTGTATTTTTTTTTTTTTTCTGTTCAAGTAACTAATTGAATAAAATCGTTTCTTAGAAAAGACCTCTATTAGTGCAGATGCCATTCTCGTTTTCATTACATCATAACTAATTTATATTTACTTTTTTTTAGATATATTATTATTAATTACCAGTTCGGTTGTATTAGACGTCTGAGTTGTTTAATATTATCTTGTAATATTTTATTTTTTTGGTACTGTAGATTTTCTTTCAGCTCCATGAATACGAAAAACAAGTTTATTATAATTTACTAAAGAATGCCAAAATTAAAATTGTTTAATTTTAGTACTACAGTAAATTTCTAAAGCATAATAACAACAATATAATGGGACAGATTCTTGAAAACTTTTAATAATTTTTAAGATTTTTATCAAACTTGTTTCTAATTGATTATTCTCAAACAATTTTTATAGCTACAATAAACTTTTTAGTGTGTGTTTGTGTGTAAATACACACTTAATTAACCTAAAAATCATTGATAGAACAAGTATTTAAAATTCTAGCACTCAATATAACGATAATGGCTTGGGTTTCTAGCTATATGTAACATATGGTATAATTTATTTTTTTAGAAATTTCAGACATTTTAATATTGTATAAAATTTTATACATAAATTGTTTGAGTACATATAAAATAGAAATATAAAAATGATTTAAAATGAAAATGTCAGCGTTATGTAATATATGAACAGTTCCAAAAATCGTTGGCATTCAACAACGTAAAATAAAGGCTCGTCGCTTGTCTGTTCGTTGTTAATTACCCGAAATGCTCATCAAAGTAATGTGAAGTAGCAATAAATTACTTCCGGAAAGATTGTAAAAGTTCCTATTATCCTGTCGATTGATTTAAATATCTCTCTCTTAATTTATTTAATATTTTTAAGCATATATCTGTTTAATTATTATTAATATCAGTAAGTGAAACTGTTTTAACATATTATGAGTTATTGATGATTGTAAAATGCAGCAACTTTCCTGTTTCAAAAAATGAATCTAAAGTATATAATAGTGGAAAAGGTATTAAATAAACTAAGTTATATTCGTTTTATCATTTCTTTTCGCATGGATTCAATGACAAAAATTCTGTATGAATTTTTGTCATTGGGTCACGACGTAAACAACCGAGAATAATAAAAGTTAATTAAGATGTTAATTGTAAAATTGCTTATACTTTAAAAATATATCTTCTGAATCATCACACTCGGCCGTTATTTTCGTTATTATTTTGGTTTTTTATTACATTTAGTTTGGAAGATAAAGTTTATATTCCTCATACATTTGAAAAAGATCTTTCTTGACATATTCGTTTATTATAAATACTTCCAAAATGTCTTACAATAATAATAAAATTTCCATTTTCTTTTATGACGATTGAAAAACGTTCCTTGTGTTAAATGAAATTTTATAAAATATATATATTAATTTTTATCATAAAAAGAACTTCAAAGTTATGCTAGAATATTTTATGAAATTGAAATACATCGAATATCCTAAATTGGAGTTAACTTTGATCTGTAAAAAGACATTTTGTGTGAATTCTCTCTGCAACAAGCAAAAAGGTTCGCATAAATTAGATCTTTCATCGCATAACAATTCGAGAAATGTTAGAAGACACTATAAATTTGGTTTTATTTTATTAACATAACACTTAATAGATGAAATTTATTTTCATAATAATAGCCAAAGTTTGTTAGGATTACTCTAACCTAATTGTATTTCATATATTCACACACTATAAATGTGATAGGTTCAATATACGTACTAGAATTGAGTAATAAAATTTTAAAATTTCTTTAGTTGACTAAAACTTTGAATATTAATAATTATATTTTTAATATTACATACAGTATTTATTGTTAGAAGAAACACATATCAAAGATTTTTTGTGTGTCAACATTGAAAACATACAAAACATATTTTTTCTGAGAGAACTCAAGGCTGAATATGATCCCGCCGCCTGAAAAAAAGAAATTTTACTCTGAGAAATCTATATTAATTTTCGAAATCCGAAATCATTTCAGAATGAGTCTTACAAATATTGTCAGTAATGAAGATAAAATACGTTAGTTTAATATTTTATTGTGACTTTGTCGGCCTTATCTGCAGTGATAAAGTTTATTTTCTCATCCTTACAAATGTAACAAATTGTTGTTAATTTTATTAATTCGTTTTTATTTTTAATTCATTTAAGTAATAAGCTTTATCAAAAAGAGTATGTATATATTTGTAAAAAAACATCATTTTATAAATCCAGTATATTGAGTATTAAATTATTTTGTAAATATTTTAAAAATTTCATAGAAATTGTCATATGAATAATCATATTTACAGTATTTATATAATTTTTTATTTTCAAGTTTAGTAAGAATTATTGTCATTATCCTGTATTTAATACAATTTAATTTAATGAATTTTATTATTGATAGCAAAAGTGAATTATTTGGTTTCTAATGATAAAATTAAATAATAAATTTATTTAAAAGGAAAAATACTACAGAATTTTATTATTGTAAATTAAAATTTATATATGATAATAAAAACAGAACGATTGAAACTAAATTTGTATTTTTATATAATTGTGTCAATAAAGGTTACATTGTATACCTCAATACGTTTTAAAAAAAAAGATTTTATTTAATTCTTTAATTGGATCTAATAATAATTATTCTTACTGTAAATTTTTAGTAATATAACTTTTATAGATTAAATATTTCATTTAAATTACATATTAAAACACCAAAATGATTAATTTAGTAGATATTAATAAAAACACTTCAAAGGAATTAATATACTAAAAACTTAACTTTTTGTTCGTTAAATACAAAAAATTCAAACAATAAATCATACTTATATTGATAAATACATATCAATATATAAGTTACTTTTATTCTTAATAATGGCTGAAAACTGTACTTTGATATATCAGTTTTTATAACTCACTTCTCTTTATATACAATATATAAAAGATGAATTTATTCGATATTTTCCGATACCCAGATGTCAATGGAATCGTAGTGAGTTCAGGAAGAGCAATGCTCGTTTTCAGGATATTTATTTGTCACGCTAAAATATACTATGCCGATAAAAATTTTATTGCCTCATACTACACTGCAATAAGAAAGCATCTATACCTCTCATAAGGCTAACCGAAACTAAACATCAATTTTTAATACTGCACTAAAACATTGTATCGTCTATACGTTATATAGAATAGCGCATAAATGTATATAATACATACATATAAAGGCTTGTAAAATTCATGCGAAATTTAGTTCTTTCAGTAAAATATCATTGTGTGAAATTTCTTGTAAACTTTTTTTACGATAACAATAAGGAAGTTTATTCTTCCATAATAATCATTCATGTAATTCTTTTATATTGTATTTCGTTTATTGTTTTATTAAATCTAGTAATTTGGACCGCTTGATCGATAGTGATTGTTACTTCATTCGTTTCAATTTATTTATAATTTTTTTTAAAAATAAAAATAAATTGCTTAATATTTATTATTGACGTAAAATAAACTTTAGAAGAACACGAAAATATAATTAAAAAAATATTTTCTTTTTTAGGAAACTTACTCATTATGTTGATTTGTTTTTGAAATTCAATCCGAATTAAACCGTGAAAATAACTATTAAAGCTTGGCGCCATCTGATGGAATGTAGCTAAATTTAATTTCTAAAATAATATTTTATGTCTTCTTTAAAAGTTTGTTATTGCATATAAACAAATAGTATATTACCGCCATCATCGGCTAGTAATAAAATTTTATATATAAATTTACTTTATTTTGGGTTTTCTTTTTTGAAAAAAAAAATGCGGACGTCCGATCTGTTTCGGTTCTAAATTTATCCTTTATTTTACGATTGTATAGTTAAAAAATTGAATTGGAAATCAATAAAAAGTTAAATAGATACAAAGATAACAAAATTTAAGCGCCGGCATAAAAGTTTTGTAGAGGACAGGATATAGAAAAATAGCGCGTTATATTAAATAGGGAAGTTTTTGCACTTTATATCGGCTCCATTAATAGAATTACGATCTCGCAGGATTGTTATTTTAAAATATATAAATATATAATTTCAATATTGGATGTCACGCATCTCCTTTAGCGTACGTGATATGTTTAATCCTGTAATCAACTTTAACACGTGTTGCTGCCAGTAATATTATACTCCTTTGGCCTTTTAAAACGGAAACAATTACTCCGTTGTAACTATATTAGATCCTTCATATTTTAAAATATGTATAGGTTGAATTAGGAAAGTAAAAACGTCGAGAAGTAGAGGTAGGCTAATTCACGTCATTCACTTACAAATACAGTGTATTTCCGCCTGAGTTAATTTACGTTTTATAATACGATATTCGGAAGGAAGAGGTAAAGTTTTAGTTTTGTATTCTGCAGTTTTATATTTTATATTCATTTTTTTATTTCTCGTTTATCCATTGGTCGATTTCCCCTTGCGAAACTTGGGTGTTTTAACTGTACGGAAGATGACTATCTGTCCACTCCGACAACACATTTCATTAAGTGTGGAATGTGTATATGTGTCGCCTGATGTGTCGTTGGTGGCGCGGTAATGTTAGTGTATTGTATTTTGTTTTTCCCCTCTGACAGGAAACTGTATAATGTAGCATCCAATACATACGAAAACTGCGTTTGTTAAGTTGCTTTTTGACTTAATTCTATTAAATATTAGAAAGTAATTTAGAAAAGTGTTTGTGTAACATGATTCTTAGGAATTTGAGATATGTGATAAGCAATGTAATTAATCATTATTTATTTCCCTCCAAACTATGTCTTCTGTTAGTTTAAAGTGTATATTTTAGTGTTTGTGTGTACCAGTGAAACTAAAACTTTTATTTATTTATTTCTTAATATCATCATGCCATGTTCAATTAAGGATGTTATCTTAAGGTGAGTAGTAATAGATGATGCTTTAGATAAAATTATTGCATGATTATATATATTTGTAATGTAACAGAATTGATTGATTTAATGTTTCTCTCTTGCATATTCTTTTAGGTTTTTTCTTTTCTCGTTATAAATTTTCATTCCCGGCTTTGGTTGATTAGAGAAACCGGGCTGTCCTAATATAATTTTGCTAAATTATGATAGTCTACGTCTCATTTGACCCAGAATGTGTCTTAGCTACAATCAGAATAAATTAACGATTAAAAAATATATATATTTTTGTCTGGAATGTATATTAAAAAAATTTCAAATCGAAGCATGTATAGATTGACTGATACTATTTTAAATTTTTTGTTTTGATAAACTTTTTTTAAGGTTATAACAATACTTTGTTTTGAAGGTTATAGATGAATACAGACTTAAAATATCATTTGTAAACCTTGATTCATTTTAAATTGGCAATTATCTCCCACCATAAGTTAATTTAAATGGTGTTATTACTAAACAGGAATGATAAAATGTAATATTCATGTGGTGAAGGATAAATAGTTCATATCAATTTATTCTTTATTCTTTCAGGGTATCTGAATATTTGATGGGAGATTTAGATTCAACATCTAATCAAGTCATTAAAACTCGGGTAAAGCTTTTCATTATTAAAACAATATTTAACAGTGATGATAAATATATTTTTATTTATTTATTTATTTTAAAATTTATTTATTCCAGTCATGTGATAATCTTCTTAGGGATGTTAATGAATCTGAATCTTTTGCAAGAGATATAGGTATAATGGTTATTTTATGATAATGTGTAATAGAAACTAATGGTTTCTAATTATTATTGTATCATCATATTAACCTTCAAACAACATTTCAGCTGACCTTCCTCCCAACGAAATTGATGGCTGTCTCATGCAGCATGACCATGGTGTTAATCTAGCTTTACAAAGGGCAAAAGTTTGGTCTAAATATGCAAAGGATGTAATGACATATATTGAGAAAAGGTGTCACCTTGGTAATTATTTTCTAAATATTTCTAATTAGAATTTTTTTAAACTAATGTTTGTGGATTAAACTATGTTGTTTGGAAAAGTTTATAAAGCTATATATAATTTAGTAAATAACATAATTAATGCTTAGTTGACTACAATTACTGGTGATACTTCATAAAAAAAACGTATATATATACTGTATACTAGTAAAAGTGCAGTCAACCATGCTTCAATTCCTTCATGAGTTAAAAATAACTTAATCCCAAATTTATATTAATCTAGCTTAATTGATATTTATAGTTAGAAAAAATTCAGGAATTTAATAAATGAAATGTCAACAACACTAATTTTTTTAATGTATTACATTAATTTTTTTAATGTAATTAAAACTTATTATTACTATTTATCAGGGATACTCTTAAATATTTTTATCAAACTTTAAATAATAAATTTAATTTCAAATTAAATTTTTGAAATTTTTCAATTTAGAAATTGAGCATGCAAGAAGTATATCTAAACTTGCACAGATGACACGACCAATTTTAAAAGAAGAAGTAAGTTATTGATATACTTTTAAATCCTCAATCTTTAATTTTTGTTTGTTATAAGAAATATATAATTTTATAAATAAAGCAAATATAAAAACATTATTATTAAAAATATATATATTATATGAAAGTGATTTCTTTTTAAATGAAATAAATTTTTTAAATTATTTTTCTCTAATAATACTTATAAATGTAAAACTAATTAATATACATAATTTTGTATTTGTTAGATTTTAACCTAGTTTTTAAAATTAATATTTAATATTAAGATATTTCTGTACATAAATTTTATAATTTAGTAATTAATACTTGTAGTTATTGAAGCATTAAGTTACTATTTAGTGTATTTTTGAAGTAAACACTTCAATAGTTTTGAGTTAACTTTATTCAAATTATTCAAAAACTTGGATATATTATATAGAATATATTTCAAAAATAAATAAATAAATAGCAATTCTATACTGAAAATTTTACTAATAATAGTGGTTTTGTAAATTTACTCATAGGCAAAGTGTAAGAAGAATTTTTGTAATTAAAAACTACTCAAAAGTTATATTATTTAATATTGGAGAATGTTCATTATCTATATTATAAAAATAATAATGGTAAAAATATATAAATTTATAAAACTACATATTTTTCATAATACATGTAATTCAAAGTGACTTTTTTTTTTTACTTTATTATAGTTTTGTTAAACCTTTATCATATAATGTTTAAGTTAAATTTTTGTTTTTCTATATATTTAAACTTTTTTAAAATGAAAGGTAAACCTGAATTTGGTAGTTGACACAATAAATTTTGAATTAAATTTGAAAAATTTTTAATCATATGAATACTATTTAAATTTGACAGCTTTTTCACTTTTTCAATAAAGAAGTAAGAATTAATTTATTTAATGACTGTTAAATATAGATGTTGTTACTTTCAGATAATATTAAAGTAAAATTAGTTAATAATTATTTCATTATTGAATTGTACTTAAAATATGAATAAATTAAATCTTTAATATGTTAATAATTGTTTTCATTAAAATGTCAAAAAAAATTTTGCAGAATTTTCTTCCACTCCAGTCTATATATTGTGCAGCTCTAGATCAAGATATTGAAAACTCAGGCAATTCAGTAGCTACATGCTCTGTTATACAAGGGCCAAAATTTATAGATGTAAGTTTAATATTAGAAAATATATTTGTTTATTTTATTTTATCAATTTCCTAGACAGATGGATGTTGTAAAGATTTGCTATTACTGATTTTTTTATTTATTTAATCCTTTAAAAAGATAGTCAATAAACATGACTATTTTGTAAACACAGCTAAAAATTGAAAATGTTATACATATAATTTTTATGTGCAACTTAATTTAAATTCTAAATTGTTATAAATTGAATAATTTTTTAGAAAGTTATAATATAAAAAAAAAATAATGAAACTACTAAATAAGTATTTATTCTATATTATTTTTAAATAAAAATGAATTGTTTATAGTACAAGTATAACTTTTACTTCTAAATATTTTAAAATATATATAGTTCATTAATTTCTATTTTAAAAATCTTAATAAGCACATTCATATTTTATTAAACAGTGAATTTCTGTATATAGTAAAAGAATGATGAAGTTTGCTCCTACATTTCAAATCTAACACAAATATAATTGCATTCAATAAAAATATTGCTGCTCTTGTTATATATAAAATCTTTTTATAATATACAGTGCACAATACAGTATAAATATATAAATTTTTTATTTATTTCAAGTTTATGAGAATATAAATTATTATATATACTTTTAGGTGCAGTAGTTTAAATTTATTGTTGTATAGTAATAAAATTAGTCTGGATAAGTTTAGTAATAACCTTCTGAATTTTTATTTAACTAATAATAAGAGCAATGAATATGCTCTACCATTAAATTTAATAATTTTGACTATTAAAATGTGTTTAAAAATTTTATATAATTATGATATAATGGTTATATTGAAAGTATTTAAAATGGTTGTGATAAAAGATAATTTTATTATATAAGAATAATTATCATAAATATTATATCTATGTTTTCCTAATGTTATCTCTTAAAATATCCATATAAATCTATAAATATCCATAGTTATGATATGATCTTGGCTATCATAACTTTTCTTAAATATAATAATTGCTGAAGTTCTTTTTAGTTGTTCACTATTATTTTATGTGATATTAATTTAATTTTTAATCACTTATGTATATGGATTTGGATAAGAAACTTTTCCTTATTTATAATAAGTAAATATTAAAAGAAATAATATACAAATGAATAGAGGTAACAGAAATTATATTCATATTAATGTAGTTAAACTGTTTCATTTCAAATAGTTTACAGATTGTTTTAAGATTATTTTTTTATGTTTATAATGGAAAATTTTGCTTTTGATAATTGTTCTCATATTGTTTATTTTCAAGAAAATAATGCTAATACAACAATTTTTTAAATGAGAAAACTTCGAACTTTGAGATATTAAAGTTTGAAATAGAAAGTGCTAATTATATGTTGAATCATTTATTTCTCAAGTATTGTTTGGCTTTAATAAAATCTATGAAAAAAGTCAAATTAAAAAATTGTTGTAAATAGATATGGTGTCAATTATTGACTCAATGATTGAATAATAGATTAATTGTTCTATTATTATTACATGAAGTATTTAATATTACTTTTTTTAGTTTCAAAATAATTAAAATTAAAATTTGGAATTTAAAATTTTTGTTAGTAATTATATTTTATTAACTACTTGATATATTATGTATGGCAAATGAGAAATTTTTTATTAAATAATGGTGTGTAGTTAATTTAAATAAATAATTATACAATAAAATTACAGAATAAAATTTTTTAAAATAAATTATTTATATATACTTAATATATTTAATAATAATCGTATTAAAATTATTATTTTATAATTCTGAATTGTTTTATTGTTGTCTAGCAACTTTCAAATCGACGTTCAGAACATGAAAAATCAAGAAAACAGATTAAAGAAATGTGGCAAAGGGAAATTAAAAAAATGGTTGGTTTTATTTATTTTTGTGTGTGTACATATATATTTTTTTAAATTTTTAATTAATCTTTTATTTGATATAAGAAAAATTTCTCTTATCTGAGTAGAAATACAAATTAATTTTTAAATAATATAAAAATAGAAATTTGAGAAACTTAAAAAAGAATGTAATGATTATATCAAGAAATTAAATGTTTTTTCAGTATTTTTATGTCAGTATCAATTTTTCAGTCAATTAAACGTAAAAATATAGCATAAACAAAATTTTATATACATTAAAGCACTTGTAATTTTATAAATTTGAAAACTTAATTGCTGTAGTAGTAATAAAATTACAATGTGTAAAAGAAAAAAAAAAAGATAAATGCTTAAGCTTCAAGACTCCAAAAAAATTTATAACTAGATACACCTTAGTTTTATAGCAAAAAGTAAATGTATAGGAGTGTATATTAAAACATAATGTACAATACTGTTTGTATTGTTAATGTTTCCACATAACTTTAATATTCTACATTTCAAGTCTATATTTAAAGCAAGTCTACTCCATGTAAATGTTCTACATTCTGAATTTTATATTTGGGTATTTCAAAATACGTTCTTTTTAATGTTGTAATATTCTGTTTGTGCCTGAAGAAGACCTATCAACTAGGTCAAAAATGTTTACAGTAAAGGTTAAAAATTTTTTGCTGGAAATTTAAGATTTGTTTATTTGTCATTTAAATTATTTCAGTTTAGTGCAATTAATTATCAAAAACATTTTCAGTCGTACATTGGATCAAGCGTAATTTACAAAGGTAATTAATAAATTAAAAAAAATACATAAATAACATATGTTTAAATTTTAAAATATGTTTAGATTTGAATATATAATTTTACTTATTTATTAAGTTTTTTTTAAATAGACTTTTAGTTCAGTAATATTTTGTTTGATTAACATCAAAGTTCAAATGTGGTTTAATATTTTATAATACATATTGTGTTCATCATATCATTAACATTTTTTTCATTTTATGCTTTTAGATGATATTGTATAATAAAGAGAAAAATTTAATAATTTTATTAACAAGGTTTATATAAGATTTTAATTTGATAAAAGAAAACTGAATTTCAAATTTTAGTAAGACAGAAATTTATTATTATTATTATTATTGAATATTTCTTCCTTCACAGTTTTTCTTTTTATCGTGTGTACCCAGAATATAATTTTATTTATAAGTGATTAGTCACGAATACTGGATAATATTATTATTGTATTCAGTGAAGTAATCTTTGTAGTTGACAAAAATGACTTCAGTTTATTATTGATAAAGAAGAAATTTTTGATTGGATATGTATCATATTAATATAATCATATCATCCATCTCTGTTGAATATATTTTCTTTTGATTTTTTTTTACAAGTTCTAACAGTTTCCAGATTGATGGGTAAAGATTTTTTTAATCTAGAAGGCCATTTACAAAATATTTTATTGTCCATTGATCATTTGAGCATAAACATTCCAACATCTCATGGCTCAAGCATTGTGAAAGTAGAGTTTGATTTTGTGTTTAATTTAAATAGTTGTTAATCTATAAATAAGTAAGTAATGATTCATTAATCTAGCACTTTCTGAATTTTAGTTATAATAGTTTTTCTAATTAATTAAATAATTTTGAATGTATTGAAAATTTTCAATTTGTCAATTTAAAAAATTTTTGATAAAATTTTTAATCTTTTAAAAAATTATTAGTATATAATTTTTAAAGTAATATTTTTTAAAATTAAAAAGTTTACTGTAATGATTCTTGAAATTGTTGATTATTGGATAAAACATATTGGACAAAATAAGTCATTCAGTAAAACTAATGAGTGGAATACTTTTTGGCAAGATTACTGGACAAATTGGTATTAAACAAAACAAATATGAAATAAATACCATTAAACTGCTAAAATTAGGACAAAATGATATGGAATAGTATTCTTTTTATGTATTCATTTATTTCTTTATTAATAGAGTAGAAGTTCATTAATCTAGAACCTTCTGAAAAGTAGACAATAATCCTGCATTCTGTAAATTGAAATTTGTTTGGACATTGATATGCTAAAGAGCCTCCACAGAAATCAAGTTAAAAGAGAGGTTGTGGCCAATGTTTTCAGCCCAAAACGTGAACATTGGACATTAAGCGCCACCATCTGGTAATTCTAGAAGGTTAATAATGGCATTTACTACATATAGCATGGCGAGTAGAAGTTTGGCTTAACTTCTTCATTTTTTTGTGTTTGGGGTTAAAATTATGATTTATTTTATTAAAATAATGATTATTTAAGCATTTATGAATAATATTGTAAAGAAACAGACAATTTTAATCCAGAAATTATTTAATTATTCAATTTTTTTGCAAGTGATGTGAAATACCTATAGAATTTACATATATTTCTGTTCATAATAACTTATCATAATTCTGTAGGAGTACATTTGTTCTTTCACAGCATCTTCTACCATCAGCAGTGTAATATGTTTGTAAATCTTCTAAAAATAATTTCCTGAGCTGCTTTTGGATTTACTTACATAAGCCACTACTTCCCTCAACAAAAGTATGACATAGTCCTATTGTACAGTAGGAAACACGATGCTAATTAACAATAATTATTTAGTGTTATTAAACATCCTATAAATACTTTAAAGTAGTTTAATTTGTTTATTTACCTTTGCTGGTAACATTTGTCGTTATTAAATATTTCCACCATTTTTCAATAATATCCCATGAGTCAGTGCGCAATGTGAATGTGTGGTGCAACGTGTGTTACTTAGAGTTCAAATGTCAAATGTGTACTTCTGCTTGCCGTACAAGTTTAACGTTTGAACTTCAGCTACAACCTCTCTAAAGATGGAAGTGCAGCAGTACATACTATTATATGTATGGAGATTGACCATGGGATCAAGAGTGATATAATCTTAATACAGTGCATGACTATTGTGTTATATTCAGATTTTGTTATATATTCCAAGTAATTGATGTCATAGAGACTAGTAACATACAGATGTCACAACCATTCTATAACCATTTTTAAAAAGGAACCAAGATCATTAAATCAACTTTAAAAATCTTTAATGCTAGACATTTCAGATGAGTAAACACAAACCTATTTAAGCTTTATTACAATGAAGTAGTACTCCTTTATAAATTATTCACACAAATTGTCATCCAACACCATTTCATATACAATTTTACAACTTATAAAGTTGTATGGGAACTGGTAAGTGACATGTTGACAATCTTAGAGATAGTGACTAATGCCTGCCTCTAGTGCCAAATTACTTAGTCTTTAATTAATAATAGCAGTAGTAATATAGCCCAATAAAATTTGGCAATCATTTGTTATTTAATATATAACTATCAGGTTTGGATTTGAAATCTATCTTTAGATTAATTAGTGTGTAAAAAAACAAATCAGAAGCATACAGCAAAATACAACAATGTCTGTAATATTTAGATTGCACATATGGAATTTTGCAAAAATACAAAAAATATCCAGTAATCCCTCATTTTTGATATGGCATTTCTGTGGGTTTGTAGATATTGATTAACAAAGTTATAATAACTTTATTTTTAAAGTACAATAGAATATATTCAGAAACTTATTCCAGAAAGCTATATTGCATAAACTTATTCCAGAAGCTATATTCAGTCTTCTCTTATTAATTTCAATTTATCATTGAAATTAATGAATTTATAATCAAATTAAATAAGCAGAAAATTGTTTTTACTAAATAACCTGTTTTGGAGTCCTGAATCTTTAAATGAGTAACTTATCTGCTGTTATTCTATTTTAACATGTATACAAAAATATATATGTTACAATTTTACTCTGAATAAAAATGAAATTATTATTTTATAACATACTTTTATACATATTATATTTTCATTCAATGTAGAAATTTGTCAAACTACAAAAAAATATAGTTTTGTATGGTTTTTTTGTTTATTAGCTCTACATTTTTGTTTATTTAAATATTGAAATAAAATTGCTCAAAAAACAAATTATTATTTATATATTTATTTAGCATGAAGCTATTAGTAATATGAAAAAAGCTAAAGCATCATACTTTCAAAAACAACAAGAATATGAAAAAGCTAAAGAATCAGTATTGAAAGCTGAAAACACAGAAGGTGCTGAAACCAGTAAAGTAGATAAGAAACGTCGTATTGAAGATGATGCTCTTCATAAAGCTATTGAAGCTGAAACAACTTATAAAGCATGCATTGCAGAAGCTAATGAACAAACAGTGAACTTGGAAAAAGTGAAGGTAATTTATAAATTAACTAGCTTTATTACAAATGCAATAAATTTACCATTTTTAATTACAAAGTCCAACTAAAGTTCAGGTTTTTTTAGTTATGAACTAATATTCATAAAAAGCATTAATATTTCATCTTTCATTATTAATAATATATTTCATTTCAAGGCCAAAGTTTTAAAAGAAGTGAGAGAGCTCATTTATCAGTGTGATCAAACAATGAAAGCAGTGACAGCAGGTTATTTTCAGCTTCAGTATACGACATCAACTCCTGCACCTGTCCAGGTATTAATTTATTATTGTGTTATAATTATTATATCAAACTTATTCTAGTCATACAGCTACTAAATTAAAGTAAATGTAGTTTCAGATGTTATGTGAAAGTGCTAAGTCATATGAAGTAGGCTCACAGTATATGGAATTTGTAAAACAAAAAGTATTACCTTATCGAACCATGCATAAACTTATTCCATTCACTTTTGAACCTTATTGTGGAGAAAGCAGGTTAATTTTCTGGATTTGTTTGTATAGGATAGTGCAAAAGTAATCATCTGTTTTTTATTTATAATTTTTGAAAATGTAATGAAAAAGATAACTATAATAGCATCAGTTTTTTAAGTTATGCAGATTCATCACAAATCTCCTGCCTTTAATGTTGTTTTACTTCTGAAAGGAAGTTAAAAATTGGTCTAACAAAAAAAGTCATTAAAAAATGAGTGATTACTTTTGAATCACCTTGTATTTGTTTTTATACACATATGTTATTTAACTTATATCTTTATAATTTCAGAGATAGGGAATGTAAATTAAATGAGCCTACAGAAGAAGAAGGCTCATTTAACTTTTTAAAACATCAAGTATTAGAAGCTAGACTTTCTGCAGAAAATAGAGGTATAAGTTTTATTAAGAATCATTAATAATACAAACAGCAAAATATATATATAATATTATTATTTATCAGAAAAAAAAGTTCCTTCAAAAACTTGGAATACATCTGTAAGAGCTATTGGAAGTGATTCAGATAGTATTAGTAGTTGTCCAAGTAATAAATCACAAGATACTAGCCCTACTGCTAGTCCACATGCCTCAGGAAGAAAAATATTAACAGTATCATCAGGAGATGAGTTAGAAACTGATCATGATAATGGTGATTATAATTTTACAATATTTGAAATATCTAAATATTATTAAATATTTGTGCTTAGATATTGCTTCAGTGATATATGCGATAAAGAAAAAAAAATACATTTAATTTTCCTTTTAGCAGATGGCCTTTACAATTATAATCGACAACCCACAATGTCAAAAGCTGCCGAGACTCATAGTTTTAGAAAACTGAAGACTTTATCTCGATGTCGAGAGTGTGATTGTTATGTGTGTTTTCAAGGTTTTGAATGTTCTGAAGTAAGATTTAAAAATTTTTAAATGATTTTATAATTAATTACTTAATAATTTTAATTATTATTATAATAATTGTTTCAGTGTGGTTTACCTTGTCATAAAAAATGTCTAGAAGTCTTAGCATTGCAGTGTGGTCATAAACGTCTTCCTAACAAAATGACAACATTTGGTGTTGAGTTAACAACACATGCAGAAAAATTGGGAGGGAGAATACCTCACATTATTACAAAGTGTGTAAATGAAATAGAAAATAGAGGATTATTAATTAAGGTAAGATTTAACCATAACAAAATACTTTTATGTGAATCTTTATCTTGTTTTTTTATATAATTTTTAAAATTTTTCTCTATAAAGAATTGTTTAAAAAATGTTAAAACATAATAGTAAGTAGTATATGTATATAGAAAATTTTTTGAAAATACAAATCAAATAAAGTATTTTTTTATATTTTAAATATGGATACAGATAATTATAATCATATTAAATTCCAAAAAAAAGTAATTTTCTGAAAAAAAAAAAAAGCTTTCTTATTAAAACTTTTGTTTAAAATTAAAAATTATCACTTACTAGTTTTTATTCATATTTTAATTTTTAATCCATTATAGTTTGTTAATATGTACATTTTACTCAGCACTACCTATATGAATCTGACAATATTATTATGAGGTACAATATTCAAACTTTATATATTTGACATAAGCTGTTTTATTTCATGTTTTTTGCATTTGATTATTTTTGCCAGAACTTTACTGAAGACACTATTTTTTTAAATCGTAAACATTCAAAAAATTATTATTTAATATTTTCAAAGTTTCATATCAAATTTTTACAAAGCATAAATGCGATTTATAAGCCCATCTTTAAATATTACAATTATACAAAATTATAATTAAAATTATACAAAAAATTCACCTGTTCAAGGTTTTAATTTTCTAAGTATTCTAGTCATTATAAAGTTTTCTTGGTCTGAATTTATCATATTCATTTTACTGTTTTGGATTTCAATATATAATATTAAAAACTTAACATAGGTACAATAGCAAACTTTACACAAAAACTTTTCCAAAATTTTACTTCAAAAATTTATTATAGTCATCTTTACTTTCTTGTAAATTCTAGATGAAATTATAAAATAATAAATTATATAGTTGTAAAAAATATGATAGCAGATGTATCTCAAATGATTTTTTTTTTTTTTTAGTTTTATGCCTCAGTAAATACAATTTAACACATTATTTTAATTTGAATATTAATGTTTTTCATTTTCTTCCATTTAATTTCATTTTCATTTATTTTGTAATTTCTGAAATGTAACTTATTGTACTGTACAATTTGAACAAAATAATTTGTAAATTTTATGTATGCTATTATTTAATTTAAAATATTAGTTTTCACTAATCTGTAATCCAGAAAATTTTATTGTTATATATCTACAGTTCATCAGGAATTTAAAAAATTTTAATAATTAACTAAATAATAATGTTTTTGTTTATTAGTATGACGTATTGTGTTTAGAGTACTATTTGTAATAATTTTATGTATTATTTTGTTATTTAAGAGAGATATTTTGTTGTATTTTATCCTTTATACCATAATTGTGCATCTGAAAATTTTATGGATTATTATTATTTTTTAAAATAACATTAGGGCATTTATCGTGTGTCTGGTGTTAAATCACGGGTTGAAAAATTGTGCCAAAGTTTTGAAAGTGGTGCAGATTTAGTAGATTTGACAGATGCACATCCAAATGTCATTGCAAATGTATTAAAGCTATATTTAAGACAGCTTCCAGAACCACTACTTACCTTTAGATATTATCCTGACTTCATCAATATTGCAAAAGTAAGTATAAAAATATTTTAAATATCAGTTGATTATCATACAAATTCAATTTAAGATTATAAAGGCTCTTATTATAAGAATATATTTTTTATTTTACAGTATTATCCTAGTTTGAAAGAAGAATATACACAAATAGATGAAGCTCTAAAAGAACTTAAAATATTAGTCCGACAGTTACCCATTATTCATTATACAACACTTGCTTATCTAATGCATCATTTGAAAAGGTAAAGTAAAACTTTTGTTGTAATATTTTCATATATATATAGATAAAAATAAAAATTTGATTTAAAATCGATAAAAATAAAAACTTACAGTTTAATGGAAAATAAGTTTTTGTGTGTCAATTATTACTGAATTTTAAGATTTTCTAAATGAATTTAGTACTGAGATATATAAAGTTGTCAGTTCTTGTTAATTTTTACTTAAGATAAAAATTTTTAATGAAGATGGCAATACTATATATTTTAGCTTGCCAATTTCTTCAAATCAGTAACTCAGTTAAAATTTGACAATCATTTTTGTTTGGTTAAAAAGAATGTGATAAAATTCTTATTTAATCTTAGAGTTTCTGATTATTCTGAGCATAATAACATGCCTCCTAGTAATTTAGGAATTGTTTTTGGTCCCACATTATTACGAACAAGGTCAGTATATTTTAAACAATTATTTTAAAATTTAAAACAAAACAATAAATATTTAAATACTAAATATATATTATTCAATATTTTAGTGAAGGCACAGCATCTTTAAGCTCCTTAGTAGATACTGTACATCAAACACGTATTATTGAACTTTTAATTAATTATGCTCTTGAAATATTTGATGATCACAAAGATCCAAATCAGTTTATAGAGTTAAATGTGTCAGGTAGAATATTTTGAATGTAACATTTTAAATTTATTAAAAAATAAGCATTTTAAATAATTGTTTTTTTTTTGTTGTTGTTTTCTTTTGTTTATTAGAAAAAAGAAAAGTCAGTAGAACACTATCTGGAACAAATCAAACTGGTGATGTTGATATGTTTGATGATAACCATAATAGTGTGTTGTATGAAAGTGCTCAGTGCAAGAAAACAGAAAAACAAATTTTTATGCAAGATACAAGTGATTTTACACCATCATCAGGTAATTATTTCTTCATTTGTATAATTAAAAAATTTGTTAATATTCTAAGAAACATTTTTTTTTACAGATGATTTATTAGGTTCTAGTGTAGTTTCTGATGATGATTTTCCTGATATGCTGCCAGATGATAATCTAATAAGAAAGTCACCATTGCTTCCTTACAATAAAGGAGTGTTAAGACAGTCGGATAATTTATATACACTGCAAAGAAAAGAAATATTAAATACATTAGATTCCAGAACACAGTCTTCTTCACCTGCAGTATCAGAAACAAGTCATTCCAGCATACATAGTGTGCCTCTAAAGTCATTTGAGGAAGATTCTATTGCACCATCTGATGTTGGAAGTTTTGATGAACCACCTGTGCCACCTCCAAGGAGAAATGTTGCTTTAAGTTCTGATAAAAAATATACTACTGAACATTCAACATCATCTGCAGAAGATAGTGGAGTAAATAGTCAAGAAGAAACTAGTCAGGCATCTTGTGCATTTTCATCTGTAACTTCCGTCAATATGAGCAGTTCTGGAAATAGACTCTCGACATCTGCTATAACTGCAGAATTAAGACGACAGTTTTTTGAAGCCCCACCTCAATCTATGATTGATTTAAGCTTTGTTCATCCTTGTTCAGGTCTTAGTAGTGATTCAAAACATTTTAGTGAATATATTGATGTTTCAAAACCAACTTATCAATCCACTCATAGTACTCCCAAGTCTATAATAGAAGGATATTCTGAAAGAGAAACTACTTCAAAAGAAAGAGGTGATTATTCCATTTACTATTTAAAAATATTTGTACAAGTGTATGAAGTAATTCAAATAATTTAATCTGATTTTTGTAATTTTCAAGTTAAGTTATTATTATTATTATTACAGAATTAGATTGATTTTGATAGAAAAATTCAATCAATAATCAAAACCAACTTTATTGTAATCTAGAAAGATTACAATAAAAACAATTTCTAATATAAAAAAAAATCCAGCAATGAATTGTCTTTGGCACCATCTCTTGCAAGATTTCGTTAAAAACTAACTTTTGCCCTTTTATAATAATTAATAGTATAAAAAGTTTAATTCTGAAGGTAGAAATGAATTTTACAAAAAATTGTAAGTACTATTAATAGCATCAATATCTCTTATTTACAAGTTATCTATACCATTCCAAATTTTGTTAATTAACCATGATTCCATCCTGAGATAGTAAACAAAATACATGCTAACATGCATGTGTCAAAGAAATTTTAGGAATTTTCCATGTTTTTACTTTTTTGGGTTCAGGAGGTTTCAAAACATGGAGATTTTCAAAAACACTAGGCTCAAATTTGATACAATTTCAGTACTTCCCATATATATCACAAGCTGCAAAGTAAAAAAGCTGTAAAATTAACATAACAACATATTTTAAAATAATTATTTAATTTGTTCTCAATTTTCCAAAACCATGTTTTATAATTTTCTATGATTCTCAAACACAAGACCGTGCTACTATTTAAACATTTGGCGTTTCAACTGAATAAAGATGAAAAAATGCCAAGTGTTTAAATAGTAGCACTGTCTTGTGTTTGAGAATCATCATAAATTATTTAATTCTTTAGATTGAATAGCTAATTTGGAACAATATTTTCATTAGAATAAAACTAAAGAATTTTTAAATTACGACAAAAATATTTCAATAACTATGGATTTTGTTTATAAGTTTAACTTTACATTTTAAAAATTTATTAAAAATATAAAATTATGATTTTCATCTAAAATCTATGGTTAAGTACAAGGATGAATCATTTGAAATTACTTCTGTATATTATGAATATGAAGTATTTGAAACTACAGGCATACCTCGACTTACGTCGTTCCGATTATACGTCGCTTGTCAAAAAAGTATATGGAAAAATAAAAATCAAGTTTAAGTCATTTTATTCGACTTTACGTCTGTCCGCCACAAATATTGAAGTCGTAATATCACTAGAAAAGCATTTAAAGCACATAAAATCATATTAAAATATATACATTTACAACTATGTATGGTATTTACAGTACATGCATTCGTAAATTTAGATTACTTTTTCTGTACTATATTAAAAACTAAAATTTATTTGTTTGTAAGCTTAAAATAGATCCTTATTAACCATACATTACTAAAAATGCATTAATAAATAAAATACAGAACCGGGAATGGTAATTTATGGTTTAGCCTAGTGATAAGTAGTTTCGGAGACAAGTAAATTCAACTTACCTCGTTCTCCTGGAACCAATTACCGACGTAAGGCGAGGTATACCTGTATATTATAAAATTTTAACCAATTTCTTAATTAAAAAAGGTTAAATGATGAGTATTATTAATTTCAACAATAAATATACTTAAAGGGAAGTAATAGCATTTTCTATCATCAAAAAGATTTTACTTTTGTTTCATATTCAACAAAATATTCAATTGTTATTTGATTAAAAATATATACAATATGTATCAAATATAATTATTGAAGAATGAATTTTTAATATTTATCAAGTTCAAATTAGATACAGTTTAATTAATGTTAACGTCTTTTATACAGTAATATATTAAAGATAAAACATTCTTTTAAAATGCAAGCCTAAATAGCCCTGTATATTCAATCAAAAGCTTAAATTAATTAGATATTTAATGGTACTGATAGTCCTTTAATAATTATTTAGATCTTTGATTTTTCTTTAAGACATTGAAGAGGAATGATTTAAGTAATGATTTATTGATGAGAGTAAGATGAATGATTTTCGTCATTCTTAAATCATTCCTCTTACATATTTACTTAAGAAATAACCTCTTAAATTTAACTTTTTGTAATATATTTTCATCATGTTATATACCTTATATATTATATAATGTATCACATTCTGAAAATATTAATTTATTTTTTTTAAATCCCTGAAAAATTTTAACTTCAAAATTTCTTTTCATAAAGTTTTATTTATGTAATGATTTTAAAAGTTTTAATAAAATAAATCATTATTAACTTTCATATCTTAATAAAATATTTAGTGTCATACCTACTCTTTATAACTATTAACAATTTTTCAGACTTAATATAAATTATATTTATTTGCATATTTGAAAACTAATTTTCTTTTCTTAACTGCATTTTTCTTTATTCAATATTTGTTTAGTTAGACAATATAAAGCATTTACATGTAATTTATAAATCTTGAATATAATAAACATTTTTGCATTTGTTTGTTTATAAAATTAGAAAATATAACAAAATTACCACTGACAATAAAATACTAATAAGCTATTAAGGTATATAAAAATTATTTTATATCATATTTTTAAAATTTTGATTCCAATACATAAATATTTTTTTTTAAAAGTTCAAGAAGATTTAAGTTCAAGTGGTAGTAATTTATATTCCAGTCCATTATCTGAGAGCATTAGTTCTCTCGGACAACGTTACATGCCATCACTTAGTTCATCTTACAGTAGTAGAACTATTTTCAGCTCGACAGGAGCAACATCTGGCATAAATTTACCTACTAAAAAGATTAACAACTCAAGGTACAGTTGTCTTCTCTTAATTACTTTGAAATATTATTAACATAACAATTTATTAAAATTTATTATTTTAGTCATTCTTTGGTGCATAATAAAGACTTGCAAACAAAACAAGGTAGTAATGGAGATAGTGAATATTCTAGTCAACAAACTGTTTCTTCTTCTAAAAGCTCAGAATCTTCACAACAATACATCACAACAAAAATGTTAATGGAATCCGGTTCCTTATTAGAAACAACGCAGCATTCTGAGAAAGCCGAGAAACTGACGCAGAGCGAACTGTCCATTTTAACTTCGTCTGCCACCTCAGGCGATCCGCAGGAAATCGGGACTTCCAAGATGACGGACAAATTCTCTCCCAGCAGACAACCTCGTTTTGTGTGAGCATTCATTATTGTGTCTTGTATATAAGTGGATAATTGTGTAAAGCACATTGTACATAATCAAACTACAGACAGAAATGAAATTATTTAAGTGAAAAGAATATACTCATCTAATCATATATATTCTGTTATAGTTCAGCTTGCAATTTTTTCATTTTAATAATAATTTTAAAGAAAATTGCATTGCTTAGAACTTTTTACAATTCAGATTTGCTTTGTTGATAGTATGACTGTTTCATACAGATACAGGCATATTGTAATAACATAATTTGTGCCTTATTTTTCTGTAAATGTTCCTCTCTAATATACTAGTCAACTTAGCTTCTACTCCTATCATTTCAAAACAGTATTATCAAAACAAATTGCGTTTCATTTATATACTGTATATTACATTGGCTGATAGTGCAAAGACAGGTTATATCTGTCAAAAAAATAATCATTTAGTTAAATTTGTGATAATGTTAAAAATTTTTACAGTCCAAGAGATATGTACAAATGTTCAGAATTAAAAAAGGATATCTGTATAAATATGCACTGCTTGTATTTTAGAAATATATTTTTAATGTATGAAAACAGAACAGCAAAGAAACAAATTGAAAATGTCACTGATAATCTGATGCAAAATTTATGAGTCAAAGTTAAAAAATTTTATTTTTAACTATAAATTATCCAAAGAATTAAATTTTCAAATTTTAATTTACTAAGAGACTATTTTTTTACATATATATATTTTTTAATACTTGAAAATTGCTTTTGTTTATTTACTAATAGGAATTTAATTAAAAATTTTTACTTTATTTTCTGGTCCAAATGGCAAAAAATTTTTTAATACCTCAGTAAAAATTGTATATGTTCTGTTTAAAAATCTTAAGGTAAATATCCACTTTTATTTTTTTTAGCATTATAAAAGAAAGATTAGAAAATTATTTTTTAAAAAAGAATTTATTGGTTTTTTCAATGATCACAAATTAGTTTTAATACAAATATGAAGTGGAATGAGCAAAAAGTTATCGAAAATACGAGTCTGTATTTCGAGTTCATTCACGCATTTTTAGTTAAAAACATTTGCAACAATAATATAATTTTTTTTCTTTTAGGTGTTATTTTTATCAAAATTTGACATCTAATATTTTCCGGAATACACGTTTTTGATACAATATTTCTTCTCTGGTACAAAAGAATAACAACCTGAGGGTTCAACAAATAAATCCGCATCAATACCAAAGGATATCACAGAGTATTATTATTATTATTTTCATCTTCACTTTATTATTATTATTTCTTTAATTTAAAAAGATATGGAAGATTTTTTGAGGGAATTTAATTTCGTTTTGTTTTTTTTACCTAGATATGATTATGGGTATTAATGTTATAAGGCCTCTCTTGAAACTTTTCCTATAAATCCCCAAGCTTCATAAATACTCTACAATGTCACATTTAATAGTTGGTTGAGATAAGTGCCTGGATGATCGATAGGGTTTTCTAACGGTATGAGGCACGTAATGCCTTTCTTGTATAACAGATACTCTAGAAGCGGTTTGTGGTAGTTCTGCACTGTGTCTTCGTATAGTCTCAGGGGGTATTAATCTGGAATATCTTGCATTACCTGGAAATAAAAGTAAACACGCGTATTAAATTAAGTAATGGCTCCTATATATATGCGCATTATGAAAGCTACCTTCTTCTTCATTTAGTTTATTGACTCTCGATTCTTCATCATCGTGAGCTCTAGGAGTTGGAGGTGACTCGCTGCTACTAGATGCATCCGCATATTTTGCTATCAAACTAAATTCTTCCAATAGAGAACGGGGTCTAAGTGATATCTTATTGTTCATAATTACGTCCGTTGGCGAGTGGTTTAATTCGGGACACGATTTCTCGGCTCTCACTCGAGTTGGCTCCTCGTCCACTTCCAGAATAGGGAAACGCACCGAATGAGCAGAAATTTTCCTGTTTACAAAGCAATAAACTTTACTCCGTGCCTTGAAAAATAAATTATCAAAAGAAATTCGTTACCTTTTTTGATATTCCGGTTTGATTTCCAGTAATTGCATTTCGGTCGAGATATACGAGCTTTTTGATATCTCTTCAGAATATGTTTCTGCTGCAATGTGCGTAGATTACCGTTTAAAAAAAAATAAAAATGGTTATTTATACGAGTATATATAAATATATTTTTAATGCTAAGTACCTACTCGCACCATAAGAAATGACAACTTCTTCGCAAGGTGAAGAAGAATCTTCCATTATCGGTGACGATACGTGCATTCCGTGACTAATGATGATCAGTGGTTCCTCCAGTTCTTTCAATTTTGCCATTATTTTTTGTAGTTTTAGTGTAGTCTAAATATGAAATTATGTAAATTTCACGTAATACCGAAGATATACAAAACAAATGTTCATACCTCTTCTAACTTTTTTCTATATTTCCTATTGTCTTCTTGTAATAATTTTAATCTACAATGAATAGTCTCGTCTTGCGAACTTCTCCGTGATTTTTTTAAAGGCTTTAAAGTTGCCCTTACTCTTGTATGAGCCCCGTGGGGATTTCTCCATAACTCGAACAACTATAAACAATCATAATCTTTAAAAAAATTATATTTTTTAAATATCGAAAACTAGATATTTTCTAATAAAGTAAGGAATATGGGCTCACCAGTCTCACCTTGGGTACAAATACCAAACATAGAGTCGCCGTAGAGCAAAATATTATAAAAGAAGAGATGATGACGAATGCGGCATCTTGGTGTTCTCTTAACAGATAAGACACTGCAGCACCCATAACGCACATGATTACCACGTTGTACACGCTCATTCCTATATATTTTGAGTCGTTAAGAGCGGGGATGCTCACGTGACGCGTCTCCCATGCCAAAAAACATCCGAATGCCTGAAATAAATTGGTACCACTGTATAATTTTGTGACGTAGTTGACTACTACGTAACACTTACCATTAACAGACCCTTATAAGCATATATGGATCCTAAAAATATACTCATTCTTTCACTTTGACAGAATTCCATAACTGGTATAATCTGCACATCGTCGTTTTCGGAAGAAAGCTGCAGGATTATTTCTAAGATTAAAAAATTATTTTTAAGCTTCATAAATAATTTTAATTAAACAAATTACCTCCGGCTCTCCGGTGCTGGTATCTCGATAAAACGGATCTACAATTTGCCACGTGACCAAAATAGCAATGTCTATGATTACCAAAACTCCGACCACCATAAACAATTTATAATCTTTGATCACCTAATTATCCAAATTAAAAATTAGTTAAAATAATAATAAATTTGAATTAATTTTGAAGATTGAATTTTTAATTTTACCTTTTTATTTAATTTAATATTCGTAAAAATTGCATGAACACGCCATGTTTTACTGAACATTGAACCAAATGCCAAAGTAAATCCGGACATTAGGACCCACGCCCGAGCCTGTAATTTAATTTACTAATTTAATTATTTCATTTTAATAATTAAAAGAAATATTAATAATTAAATTCCTTACCGTGCAGACATATCGAAAATGTTTTTCGCTTGTCATTTCGCTATCTAATCCTAATAAAATTACGCTTGTATAGGTTAATATGCATCCGATAATTATTAAATTATTTAAATACGGGCTCGACATTTTGATGTACCTAATTTTAAAGTAATTAAAGACAAGTAATTAAATATGGGATTATTTTTTCCTGTTATCTTATACAAAAATGATGTACCTCTGATTTCTATACTTGATATTAATGCTGAGGAAAATTGTAGCGGATAAAATTCCAAGAAGAGCCAGGGCAGAAAGTATCAAATAACTAATTCTACTGACTCTAACTCGAATCGTGTCTTGTCTTGTCTGATCTGCGGGTGGCCCCGAACCTATTTTTATTTTTTTTAAGGAAATTCGAATAATTTTTAAAAAAATTAATTTTTTTCGTAATTTCCATGTTGGAAATGTGTATTAAAGAACGTAAAATATACCTCTCCACATTATCGATTTCCCTTTTTTGAATTCTAGTCGACTCGTTACAGAATGATATTCTCCGATATTTACTTCTTCTCCGTCTAAAAAGAAAAAAAAATTCTTTTTGAAAATCTTGAATAAATTTTCTAGAAATGTGAGTTTTGAAATATGCTGACTTTGCAATTTTTCAATTTAAAATATTAGATTTCTTTTAAATAACAAATCATTAATATATTTAAGCAAAGTTTTAGCTCTCTGTCCTGTCCTTTTAATGGGGTCTTTTAATTACATCCATCGTGGTTTCGGCCAGCCCGTAATGGGCCGACGTATCCGAGACAGACCCCCTTAAAAAAATTCCTAGAGTTTCCGAGTGCCCGGATTCGAACCCATATTTACAATGGAAAGGTTAACCGCCTAGACCATCCGGACGTCCTCATAAAAGGAAGGGGTTCGGACCCAGATGAGGCGGCCAACTAGTAAGAAACAGAGCCAAACCAACTATGGAAATTATATATTTAAAATTGTTCCATTTTATAATTATTTAATTTTTTTTATTTCAATTACTTTTAAGCAAGGTTTAAGAAATGGATTTACGTTCGTGACAATATCTATCATAGCGCTTCCTTTAAAAATAGTCACCATTTTGCTTATAGTAGATAAAAGTAATTTTAATATTATGATTTAAAAATCTAAAAGTATATTATAAAAAATTTTAATTTTTATGATATATTTTTAGTCAAGCATTTCTCTATAGAAATATTTAAAAATTTGTTTCATTGTTTAGTTTTTTTATAAGCCTGTATTATTAAAACTGTCATAGAATAGGCTAGTCATTCTATCGTTTCAAAAGAACAGAATAGCAGACTTACATATATACATATAAAATGTCGATGATCGTTATATATATAATGATCGTTGACGGTTGAAGATGAGTCAAAAATGGCGAACTTTATAATAAAAAATATATACTTTTTAATGGATGCTTTTATTGAAGGTATATCCAATCTTATATATATCTAAAGTACGAGACGGTGTGTAAAGATTTAACAATTCAACTTCTCAAAAGAACAGTTGTCTAATAAATCTTTTCCGAATTAAGATGACAAAGGATTCGGCTAGGTGAAAAATAGCTAAATAAGCTAGCCGATGACATTCTGTTTTGTATGAAGAGGGCCGACTGTTTGATCGACTTATTTGCTGAGCAATTTCTAATTCAGTGATATTAGTTCTGGTACACTTATTGTCTGTTTCTTACGAAACGAACTATACTAGGGATGGCGAACGTTTTTGGAGTCCGCGGCCACATAGTGAGCATAATTATCTTTACAAATCTTTATATGTGCCGAAGTTTTAGACTTGCAATAACGATATTTAAAAAAATGAAATAAATATTCTTTAATTAAAATAAATGCAAAGCTGACTGAAAAAGGAATAATTGAATAAAACAGGTGATAATCCGAAATCGTATACAGTAGAACCTCGAAAACTCGGCTCTCGATAACCCAGCACTCCGGATAACTCGGCCACACCCTGGCAGGGCAAAAAAATCCCTAGTTAATTAATTTTCATTATAGACAGTTTTATAAAAGTATAAAAGCTCTCGTAAAGTATTTTTCTGAGGTCTGTCTTATCAGGTAAATTACTGTACACAGTGTATACATTAATTTTCATTTTCATGTAGTAAAGGCTCTATGCCTTCATAAAGGACGTACTTTTCCTTTGTTTAAGGGTATTTGGGCAGTTTATTCTCTGTTATATTCTCAAGTAAACAATACATACAAGTACAGTACAGTATTTTCTGAGGAAACACTCGTACTTATTTTTTTAACCCCATTCCCGATAACCCGGCATTTTCACAAACTCGGCCACCCTTCGGTCCACATTAGGCCGAGTTTTCGAGGTTCTACTGTATTACGTGCCAGATGATTTCTTCAGACGTGCCACAGGTTCACCATCCTGTTGGTTTGCTTATACTTACAAGGAAAGTACACGGCTGGCTACCCATCGATTTTGATCAGCTAGGACATGGTGAAACAACATCGAAAATGAACAGGTAAGTGTCCGAGCTTTTCGTTCAATGTGTCTTACAAATATTAGTTTTTTATGTTTGAAAATTCAAAGATTCGTAACTTATAAGTCGTGATGGAAGACGTGTTCGAGAGCGCCGCATAGAATGGTTTGTTCAACCCACTGTGCGTTACTGTATAATTTTCACCTTAAAAAAAATGCAATTTTTGCATTTGCATATTTAATAAAATACTTGTATAGGCCTAAATAATCGGATAGAAATGAATATTTAATACAAGAAGTAAAAATAGTGCAGTGTCAGGTAAAATGGCGATTTGGAAACTAAAATATCCACTCTATTACACTCACTGTTGCCAATCTGAATATTTTGTATCTAGATCTATGTACTGTACTTATAATATCTAGATGTTTTCACCCAAAATCTATAGCATGTGGCCTAATGAATTTAAATGTTTTATTTTTTCATCCAGATATTTTTTCACAGAATTTATAATAGCATGTAGCCTATGAGATCCGGATGTTTTTATTTCAGTTTTTAGATGTTTTGTTTCAATTAGAGTTGGCAACAGTGAAACTTACACTGGCATGTCACTGTTGTGCATGTCCTATTTTAGTGGAGTTCAAATTGCTAGTCGACATTTGCGATTATTTTACTGTGCATTAAGTTGATTTAATCTCCAAAATGTTTACTGCCGTGTGTTTACTGATGAATTAAAAAAAAAATTATCCGTTTTTGAGGAAAGTTTGTAATTGTATTGACAAAGTGAAATGCGAAGTGTGCTTTTCGGCATTTTCAGTAACACGTGGGCGTTCGGACATTAAAATCACTTGAAAAGTGAGAAACATAAGGCAAGCCTAGTAACGGCAGAAGAAACTTCCTCAAATATATTGTCATATTTTAAAGGTACCGATTTAAATTGCATAAAAATAACAGAATTTTAAAATAAAGTTTACACTAGTGATAAATATTAATAACTTCTTAATATTAAAGTATGTTCGGTTGAGTTATTAAAAATTACTTTTAACTCATTGTTGTTTTTTTGTTAACAACTTCTTTATTTAGCCTTTTCAATCATAGGTTTTATTTTCTGAAAATTGTCCCTGTTTAAGAAAAAAAAATTATGGTAAACCTACTTATTATGATGACTTATAAGTTGTACATTATACATATACTGTACTGTACATGATTTAAATTGTCTCATTTCTTGAATTGTGGAAAAAATATCTTGTTTATGTTGTTAAATATCTTTCTTTGTGTAATTAGCTTCGATGCAAACCATGCATATATTATCATCGAAAACTGGAGAGAATAACTGATGATGAATAAGGAAATAGATTTTTATAACATCTTCCCTAATAGAAAATTGACGTTTATTCTGCATCTAGCGTCAGTTCCTGCTTCAAAACGAAAACGAAACTGCTAGAGATATGAGCATTAGAGTGACGTTCCGATTATTTATACGAGTATTTTATTAAATATGGAAGTTCAAAATTTGTTATTTTTTATTAGGTAAAAATTATATAAATAACTAAACTGTAGCTTCAAAACTAGAACTATAGTTTATCAGCGTTAATTTAATGACGCTTTAACAAACCATGCTAAGCGGCGCTTTCGAATATGTCTTCCATCATTGCTTACAATTATAGGTTACAAATCTTTGAATTTCCAAAACATCAAAAACTAATATTTGCAAAGCTCGTTTTCGATGTAATTCTACCATGATCAAAATTGGTGGTTAGCCAGCCGTGTCCTCTTATTGTTAGCTGCTGTCACTTGGAAGCATCCTATAGTTTTAATATAAAGTATACCCCGCATACCTCGGACAAAATTTTTTGACAATAGAAAATTATAGACTTATTCCGAAACCGTGTCTTCTTTTTCTCCTCGTTTACTTCACAACTGGGTGCATAGGTAGACACTGGGCATCTTTAACATCACTCTTTATTCAGGAATATCCGACCAGCATTGGTGTGTAAGATATTCTTGAATAAAGAATGGTGTTAAAGATGCCCAGTGTCTACCTATGCACTCAGTTGTGAAGTAAACAAGAAGAAAAATTATAATTAATGAGTATTTTCTATATCGTTCCTTATCGTACTATAGTCGGTAAGTTACTAACGACTGTACATTGCTATATATTGTACTGTCATGAACTTTTTCAGCTCATTTTCTGTAATTATAAATTTAGCAGTATAATCTCAGCTCAATAAAACTTCTGATCGTAATAAACTACTGTACTGTACAGTACATTCATATTCTCGTTTTCCACGTCGTCGAAGGAAACATTCGGTAAACTCTGACAATTTACATCCACTATTAGAGTTAACGAGAGTTTACTTTATCTGCGAAGTTGAAAAATGGTAAATCGTTATAAAATTCGATAGAAAGCAAAGGTTTCTTGCTCTCAATGTGGGAAAATTTCACTGTAGTCGGCAAAGTCGGGATACCATAAAAAGCGTAACATATTTTTTTCAGAATTAAGAGAAACAGCAGAAAAAGAAGCGGCGTGAGAGATATGAAGAAAAGCCAGCCTTGTTGATTGGCACTGTATGTGAATTATCGGTTACAACCGTAGCTATCAGTCGGTAAAATCAGCCTATACGCCCAGCGCAATGAAATGTCTAATGTCCTGATGGGGCGGAAATTGATGGAAATAGTTTAATAAATTAATTTTTCGTTCGATGGCAATAATTATAATTAAATAAATATCTGAAGACAAAGTCCTCCCGAAAAAGGAACCATCATTTATTATCTTCGTATTCTGGACTATACAATCTTGGCGACTGACCTTTCATTGTAGGCTGCTTTTAAAATCACGAAAATACATCCAGTAAAAAATACAAATTTTTTTTTTTAAAAAAGGAATTAGTGGCATGTGGACGTCTTCTAGTTACCATTATACCTTGTTGGGATTGTTGCGGCCTTTTATCTACGTGGAAATGAGCGCTGGTAAATGTAGATTAAAAAACTGCCCCCTGCTGACGATACTTTTCAGACTTTTTTGTAAATTTTTTGTCCTACAATGAAAGGTCAGTCGCCAAGATTGTATAGTCCAGAATACGAAGATAATAAATGGTGGTTCCTTTTTTGGGAGGACTTTGTCTTCAGATGTTTATTTATTTTTACATGTTAAAATGTCGGTTCACACGGGAGAGATTTTGACGTATGAGCACAGCGGTCGTGTGCGCCAACATTAAATTATAATTTAATAATTATTGCCAAAGTTATTATTTACAAAACGAATATTTCTTGATACAATGACAGAGATTAATTTTGTAAGCTTAACATTTTTATATGTTGTTCATTTTTATTACGATTACAGTTTTCTTTCAATAAATCATTCCTTGAATACGCCAATGTTGAATTGATATCGTAAGGTGTATTCGTTTTTGTCTAAATCAGTGTTTCCCAACCTTTTTTGTGCTATGCCCCACCTAAGCCTTTCTAAAATTCTTATGCCCCCCTAACGTATACAGCGGCTATACAGTTAACTTAAACTCTGGACAAGTCCATTTTCAAATTGCCCCCTTTACAATCCAATTGTCCCCCTGTGGGGCGTGGGCCCCCACGTTGGGAAACACTGGTCTAAATAGTTACACTATTACATCAGTTTGACGTCATTCTTCCGATTTTCTTATGACAAAGAGCGATAATTTGACATAAAAGCATACATTATTTAAACAAAGCAAATGTGCCTCTATAATAAGTCAATTAATGGTGAATAGCTTTTGAGCGCACCCTGTACAACATAATAATCCGCCATTTTGTTTCTCATTGTAAAGTAAAAACAGATATTTATATTGATAAAGCAGCTATTTTTGTTTAAGAAATAATGTAATATGTTGCTCTACTTCAAACTGATAATAGCAATAAAATATATAAATTTCTTGCTTTTCAAATGGCGAATATCGTAGAAAAATATGGCGAATAAATTAGAGAGCGCATTGGATAACAAAGAGATTACAAATAACATATGTTTCTAAGTATTTTGATATAAAAATATGATTCTGTATTGAAACTAACACAATTTTATATATTTCTATTGTACTGTAGATCCTAATTGAACGTTTTACTGGTATTTGTTAAATTAAATTGAACAGACCGAAACAAATTATCATAATTTAAACACTAATGAATTTTTATTACTTGATAAAACTTAATATTAATAAATAAATATTTATGTATTTACTAACTTTAATTAATTTCTTGAAATTATATTGTTTTAACAAATTAAGCAACTTATTTTTATGCGGCAGCTGAAATAATTAATTCGGTACTATTTGAATCTATTAAGCAAATGGTTATTTTATTTATTTTTTAAATGAATAAAAATATTTATTAATTGAATTGTTAAAATAAAAGAATCTAATAAATTTATAAGTCATTAGTGAGCTATTTTACATAAATAAATTTCGCCAATAATAAATTAGTTAACTGAGGGTTGAGACTCAAAATGGCGAATTGTTATTCTCGTATGATACAGAACTCCATCTAAAGAACGCATCTACGTGACGTGTAAATTCGAATTTAACATTTAATAACGCAAAAATTTCAACCAATAAGAACCAAAAATTATCGACATGGTCGAAAAATTATGGATACTAAAACGAGAAAGTGTAATAAAATAATAAAATATTTATTAAGAAAATAATGTTTGCTTTTTATCCCACTATAGGCTTTCTTTGTTTAACGAATTAAAGGTTAACAAGCACACCAGCCGTAATCGCAACAGATAAAATTCATTATCTTTACAGTCGAATTCCTAACACATTAATAATTTAATATCCAAACTGGCATTAAAAAGATCATTATTAATAATTAACGAAATTAAAAAACTTGTAACTACGATAATTAAATATAAATATACTGAAGCAAACGAAATTTTCTGCATTTCGACTTTCATTAGAATATTGCGAATGCGTGACTTATGGGATTCGTGGGAATTGACAAGACATATTGGTGAAAACGTGGAATATAACATCTATTACGAGATTTGAATACGATTTTTTTAAAGCGGTGCGACATTTTTTAAACTTTATATTGCTAGCTGCATTCTAAATTTCTCCAGTTGCGATACATTTTGTAATTATGACTTTCTGATTACACTTTACTAAAAAAAAAAAAAATTATTAAGTAAAGCTGCCTTTTTCTCAATCAGAAATGACGCCATGAAGAATTTTTTTTAATCTTACAGTTACATTTTGAATTTTTGCTCATTTTGAACACGACTTCATCTCGTAACGCCATCCCGATGCCATCTCACAGCGCGTCACGTACTGAAGTCACGCATGATAATAAATGGCTTTCATTTTGTTTTCAAATAGCGAGAAACGAAAATCATTCTCCTGAAGATTCTCACACATTTTGCACACAAACATCGTTTTCCTAGGATATATTAGTTTCTGTATATAGGCCTATTGGCATTAATAATAGGCCTACTATTTCTTGGTTACATTCATATAATTTCTTTTAGAGTGATAACTTAAAAATGACATATTTTTTCTGATTTTATCTATTTTACAATTACAAATTTTTATTTTATTCAATTTAATAGTGATATCGCTTACCTTGAAACTGCTTTATAGCTATAGACCCTTGTCGCTCGTTATTGACGAAGCTAACGTGACCCTATACGCGAATAATAAGAATCATTGATGATCGTTCTTATAAATTAAACATTTTATCGTTTATCACTTACCGTTACCCCATTGAAAGACGTTTCGTTGAATGCTTCTTTAAATAGTTTACCCCACGTGGGATCGCTATAACGAAAATCGCGTAGTAAAAGACTCGAACTTCGTATCCGAATCTTACCGATCACCGTCTGTATTGCTAATGCTATTGCCCATATGCCGTCGTACGCATAACCATGGAAACGACTGTATTCATTCTCACGCTTCTTCATATATTCCGCTTCGTATTCCGAAGGTGTCTGTACATAAAAACAAGTTAAATAATTACACAAAAGTTTCATAAGTGATAGCAATTATTTCCCAGTAGTCGTCATTAACCGTCCTTCAACGAATATCGAATTACCTCACAGTTTAATGAAACCGTTAAAGTTAACAAGATTAAAATATGATAACATTATGTGATGAGCTGTGTAAAATAAGAATAATCCTGAATTCTTTTTTTTTATCTTTTTTGTTTGTAAAATGAACGAAGCTTTAATCTTTTAATAAAAACTAAAGACGACGAAGATAAGTAAGGAACTGTCAAAGCTTGGAAATTGAATTAAGTTTAAAGGATAGAATACTCTTGACGATTTACTAATTTTCTTTGAAGTTTTATCTTCCTTTTAACTAGTATAATAAGACATTTGATATACCAACACGTCTCCGAGGACACTCTTATTGATTACTTTGCAATAAAAGAGCATAAATGAAAGTTCTAAATCCCGTTGCCAATTGAAGAATTCTTAGAGATTTTGATCCATTCTCGCAATAATAAAGTTTGTATTCAAGGCTATGCATACAGGAAGAGTTGGGGTTTAACGCTTCTCGTTTGCAAATAATTAAATAAAATTAAAATTAAACTTGTATATAACTTTTATTTATTTTCTTCTACACGTTCAGTTCTTCCTTAATCTCGTTTATTGTTATTTTATACACTTAAATTGTTAGAAGTTTTCATAACGTAATTTATTAATGTGTTTTCTTAAACTCCACCCTTTTAAAAATCTTGCATGTTGGCCTGTTTGTACTGTAACATAAATAAAATATATTCTTAAGTTATCGTTAAAGAAAACAAATAGTGAATGGAATGTATTCAGTGCTTTCTTTTTCTATCATTTTGTTTCTTAAATGCCCTTGAGGACGACTTCCAATTGACCCAATCAATACCAGTTTGGAAGAGATAGGCATGAGCATCGTTTCGATAGAAGAAAATTGTGCTAATCTCTCAACTAACGCCTCAATTAGTGTATAATACCGTATTATTTACACCTAATCCCGAATGGAGGATAAAATCTAGATTGCAAGATGGGTCTACAATTAACTCTATGTATGTATCCGTATTGGATACGTGTTATCTACTTTCACAGTTTAAACCGAGAAATTAAATTGGTAAATTAGTTTGGTGTAATTGAAGCGCTTAAGCGTTAAATAGAAAATATGTGTAATTTGACATTATACTGTATATATAATTTATAAATAATTAATTAATAATTTTTTCATACTTGGTGTTTTTGTGGGCATAGTAATTAAATTACAGTAGCGAGTGCTACACTTTAAACGGAAATTAAGAAACGCTAAAGCGACTTCTCGTACATAAATTGAACGATATAAAAAATTAAGATCATAAAATAATAATTAGTATAATGTACGGTTTTACTCTCTTTACGTTGCATTTATGTTGTAAGCCGTGTTGAGGCGTTGCGGCACCGCGACGTTTATTTTGTAAATTGCCATTTTCTTTACAAAGTTTAAACAATTTGACTTAAGGAAAATATATACTACACATTTTCTGTAACATCTAGAACAAAATTCTTTCAATAACATTTTCTTTAATCGATAATTTTTGAAATATTGTCTCTTTGGCATTGTCGCGTGAGCCGAACTCATCATTAAAAAGATGGAGTAAGAAATCTTTCAGAATTTCTCTGATAAATACTAATTATATTGCTACATATAAGAGAATTTTCTAAATATTCCGAATATTGTAGATCATCATAATTTATTTTAATTGATTTCGTAGGAGATACGATGATGAGTATACACGGCCGTCACTTCGGTTTAGAATGATGATGGAATGATTATTTGGGGATCATATTAGGAAAAATTTACTAATGAAATTTTAATTGGATTTAATATGTTTTAAATAAGTGACAGATTGATGGAAAATTATCTGTATAAATTTATATAACAATAATAATGTTTATAGGAAAGATGTGTTAGAAAACAGGACAAATGTTCAAAATATGTTACTTAGATTGAACATTTTAAACCTCTAACGTTGAACGTTTATTTATTGATAAATAATATAAGTTTGCATATAATGTTAAATAATGTGAATAAGTTTGGTGTGTAAAGCATAAATAATTAAGTGTACCTATTATATAAGTACATGCTTAGTATTGCGTATGTATCAATATTAATAATAAAAATAAGTACAGTGGTATTGTATTTAGCGCGACAGAGCGCAACGCATACTTGAGATTGTAGCGAGACACGCGACGCGACATGCGGTAGAATAACTGACAAATAACCGCAATTTTCTTATAATTGTTACGATTCAATAAGTAACGTAGACATTATTTAGTACATAAAAATATTAAAGCAAAGGTGAAAATAATAATACAACAGAAATTATTAATTATTATTATCCTATAAAAATTAATAAAATAGTAAAAAAATATTAAAATATTTTACTACAAAAACATTTTTTCTACGTTAAAAATACAACAGAAATGGATATATATATATAAAATTTCAATGCAAATTCAACTCACCATTCCAGAAATAGTAATATTTTCGGAAGTGCTCAGAGTCAACACATCAGTAGCAATATAACCTTCTAAAGCTTGAAGTATCTGGCTATGAGTACAGGACACATTCTCGTCTTTGACTCTCCACCAATACTGTTGATAAATGCCTACTATTATCCACTGATATTTTCTGCCAAACATTTCTAACTTATAAGCCTACAATTACAGTTTATACAAAGTTCAATTATAAAATATATATATATATGTATGTATTTTTTTATTTTTATAAAAATATTTTAGACATGTATATAAATTTTTTTACCTCGCAAAAAATTCGTCTCGCCCATTTTTCATTAAAATTTCCTAAAATTATTCTTACGTCTTTTTCCTAGAAGAAAATATAATATTGAAGTTTTTCAATACGTACTAATATAATTTAAATTATAAATAAGCTTATATACTTTAAGTTTTTTTAATCCATGTTCCAATCCCTCCGCAAATCCTTGAGTGGCAGCTATTTGAATTTTTGCTCTATCCAGATCGGTTAACAATTTTGCGNAACTTCATTCAAAAGTCAATAAAAAAATATATTATTTTTTCGCATATTTATAGGGATTTTTGCGCGATTTTTATTATATATTTCGCATGTATATAAGCAATATTTCTCATTTCACGAATTTCCAATAAAAAAAAACAACTGAAATTTTTACAAAAATTGTGAAAAAATTTCCTTCTTGAATGCCGATTTTAATCAAATTTTTTAAAAATTGGATATTTTTCTTATATTCGCAGAATTTAAATACGTAAAATATTCGTAAAATATTTTTTCAAGATAACTTTTAAATATTTATATTAATTTTTGTTACACTACAGGGAATTTCATGTATACACATATAAAAACAAGTGCAGAAACTTCTTCGCATTAAACATATTAAAGAAATAGAAAAATAATAGCAATAATTTCTATTCAAATTCTCGAGAGTATTGCAAGATAATTCAACAGAAAAATGTAATATATTTTTAAGCTACACTGGCGATAAAAACACTTAAGTTATGTATTTTAACTTAGCAACTTTCTTCTGACATGTGTATTTATTATTTAGGTTCTTGTAGACAAACAACTTTGCAACATTAATCAAGTAGAAGCTCGAAAAGAAATATATATATATATACTACCATCACTAGTACTAGCAGTAGCAATTGGGAAAAAAGACGCAAAGTGGTATACAGTATTATCACTTACCAGAGAATACCTTGGAGCATTTTGGTATATGGTCCCGACTCTGGTCCATTTGAAGTGTCTAAGTATTGCTACTCTAGCGGGATTGAATTCGGACTCACTGGGTACGATTCGGAAGAAGTTTGGATAACTTTTACTCGTGTACATGGGATGTGTATCCGCGTATGTCATCTGTAAAATGATATATTATTATTATTTATTCTTATATTAAATTAATAATTAGTAACGCTAAATTCTCTATAATATTTAATTATATTTGGAGCCATTATGCATTATTGCTTCATTAAAACAAAACTTTAATTGAGGAGGCGTAGCGTTCCTCAAGAGATATTTCGATCTCGTTTCTCGCATCCGTTAACGAGACTAAGGACGAGACGTTTGCGAATCTCGTTCTAAATCGAGATTAAACACGAGATGAGATCTATGTCATTCTATTAAGCACTTAATGATCTTTTTAATGCTGATATCGCCTAATATCTGTAATTTTTAAACCCGACACCACTTTAAAAAACACTTTAGATGCTTATCTTGAATTTTTTTAATGCAGTAAAAGATAATTTAATTAAAACCCTTTAATTCTTCTGGGAATCACATATTCGTGTCAAAGCCACTGAAACTAAAAAAAAATAAAAAAAATACTATAATTAAATTGCCGAATGAATTTAACTAACAAACTATTTAATTTTTTTACCGAAGCAGTAACTAATTTACTTATAAATTCATTTTAAATTGATTAATCTAGTTTTGATTTATGGTCATTTAATGCGGGTTATAGTATCTGATATATAAGCTGTTAAGCAAATTTGCGTAACATTAAACAAATGACTTCGTAAAGTTTTTAATCGAAAAATTTTAAAAAATAAATAAACATTGTTTAAAGTAAATATTTCTTTATAAAATATGAAAATATATATATATAAGAATAATTTCCTTAAAACAACAGCATATAAATATATCAATTCTATCTTCATCCAAACTTTTATAAAAAAAATAAAAAAAGAAATATAGAGAAAATAAAAGCAATCAAAAAATGGCAATCTCGCCATATCTGGTGATGGGATTTCATNATATATATAAGAATAATTTCCTTAAAACAACAGCATATAAATATATCAATTCTATCTTCATCCAAACTTTTATAAAAAAAATAAAAAAAGAAATATAGAGAAAATAAAAGCAATCAAAAAATGGCAATCTCGCCATATCTGGTGATGGGATTTCATTCTCTTAGGATCCTAAAATATAAGAAAGGAAAAGAAAAATAACTTCAAAACAAAAATAACATAAAAAAAGAAGACAAGGAAAAAAAGTCAATATATACACTACATATTTTATTATTAAACAAAGCAATTTACTATCTTCTTAAATATATGTAAACAATCTCAATCCAGTTCTAGCAATGTACAGTGTAAGTGTATTTTTAACTTAAACGCCGCTTCTTGGAAGGGAAAGATCAAAACAATAATAATAATAAATAAATAAAAGAAATTTTAAATTTGAATAAATTGAAAAATTTATAATATTGAAATTATATTTGATATTTTCAACAAGAAATTCACTGGATTGTTGAAAATTTAATAAAGAATAAAAATGGAAAGAGAAAGAGGAATTTTCAAGTGGCTTCAAGGTATAAGAGATTAATTAAAATTAAAAAAAATTGCTATAATATAAAATAAATTAATGTTGAACAAATAAAAATAATTAAACCTGTCGAGTGGCTCTTATTGCTTACGCAATTCTAATTATCTTTATACTAATCGCGGCATTCTGTTTGTTCTACTTCTTCAAACGAACAAGTGAAATGCAAGCTTGATTTAACATTGGTTTCTGGGTAAAACTCTACAAAATTCAACAAGACAAATGTAGAAATAATACTTTTTTCCCTTCACCCTTTTTCGGCACTTGTAGGCGTTTTAACACCTTTCGTGAATAATTGATAATAATTAAATATTAGAAATGATAATTGAATGTAGTAATATATTACGGATGGCGGAATTCTTTCAAGTCTTTTTTTTCACTTTTTTGTTTCTGGTATGTTTGGTACGTTATGCGTTTCTGAATCAATCGTTTCTGCCATTTTTTTCGACGCTTGAATGATCTTTCTACATTACACGCTTCTGTTGTTTTTGATTTATAAATGAATCTTCGTTATTATTTGCTTATTTTATATTTCTTGAATACGTGACACTTCTCTCTTTTTTCTGGAAGAAAATGAATCATTGTGGATCAAATATTTTTGGTGTTTTCACGGTTAAAGTATATTTTGAATCATACATTCTTGTCGAAGTATCAATCGCATCATTTTAGGACTTAGCGAATCTTTCACTCCATTTTCTTTATATGAATCATCTTTTTGCCATTATAGAACTATATAAACTTACTTTTAATTTTTCGATTATAATAGCGTATCGAATCATAGAATATTTCTATCATTTAAGATCCATAATATGACCTTTGAACTTCTTATATCATTATTTTTGATGCAAAAATGACCTCCTGAAAGTTATTCGCTTATTTTTATTTTACGTCTAAATTGCCTTATCAATCTCTCATTCTGTCATTTTTGAAACATAAATGGATTTCTAAATCAATCACTTCCGCCATTATCGATTTACAAACAGTAGAATATACTCTAAAACACAAACTTTTTTTAACTATAAAATATCTTTTTGGATCATTATTTTTCCTTCATGTTTGATTCAAAAGTGATATTTGCATTCCTAAATCCCTTTCCTTTCCGCCATTTTGACTCAATTTAAACACTAAAAAGTACAATGAAACATCAAGAACCCCAACAAGGAACGTAAGTGATGCATTGATCATTTCGATGTGGCGTTTTGTCTCATAAATAACTAACCAAACATCGAAATTATAAACAATAATATTTTCTTTACGAGTACGTACACTTTCAAAAATATTTGAAGAGAATACAGATTAATTATTATGACAATAAGTGCTATGAAACACGCATTTTCATGGAGTTGTAACGTGTCAGTAAATTAATGTAAACAAATGGTCGATAAATAAATAAATGATAATTGAATTTACTTGGCAAAATTAAATTAAATTCTCTTGTAAATTTTATAAAAGATCATTTTACCTATCTAGAAAATTGTTTACTAGTTTTTTTTTTATATCTACCTCATGATTTACACAATAAATACGTAAGCAATAACGTCAGCGAGAACGTCACTAGAGACAAAAGTTTTTACTTTTATAGTAAAACGAAAATGATGTTTCTGTTTAGTCCTTTTGATTTATTATCTGTTTTTATTGTAATATTTTATTATTCTTTCATAAATAGAAAACTTAAAAAATATATTTTCCACATTACTGAAGTCTCTATTTATCTACAATTAATTTCTTTTTTACCTGTTTTTATGGTTTGTAAGCTTTTTAATTTGATAAAAACATGAATTTTACATTTGAAAACATGTACTATTTTTGATGAAGGCTTCCTGAAACATTTTTAATATATAGAAATATGTTATTTAGTATTTTTCTCTATTTTACATTATTTATATATTTATGAGAAGAATGAAAACTTTGCGCTCTGCTCTACAAACCTACGCAAACAGATGACACTTATTAAGTTGTATAATTCGAGAATTTTGCTTATTTTCTATTAAGAAAACTGAGATTTTAATAGTTATGCTATGAAAACATTGTATTAATTTTTAAAAATATTATAGAATATTCTTCTTTATGCCCACATACTAAGGAGAGCAACAAAGCTATTTGACTCAGGCCTTGACTATAAAGAGGCAAAATTATGTATAAAAATTAACATTTCTATCGATAAATGTGAAAGTCTATTTTTATTTATTTTACTGATTTTATTAATATATTTTTATGGTTTTTGTAAAGTATTTTCCATATTTGCGCCTAACTTAGGCTCAACTTTCCTCTCTCAGCTCCCACTCTCTATATTCTACATTATATTAAAGATTCTTACGAAATATAAAGTTATAATTATACCTAACATTTTGTATTTATAATAATATCCAAATTTTAAATTTATATTTTCGATAAAAGTATAAACTTTTAATTAGTAAATTTATTAGTTTTAGTTTCAAAATTAGGTAATCATACCGCTTCAGAGCCCCTCAGAGGTTAAGAAAAGGCCCGGCTACTTACCTTTATGATGCTTCTAGTATATTAAAATTAAATTACATTTTTAAATATCAATAATAAAATTTGACAAAAATTACGTTTTTTCCCCCCTCTTAACTGACAAGAAATGCAATGAAATGAATAGATTGTAACAAATGTTTATGAGGTTTGAGGTGAATGGTCTCCCTGTAAATGGTCTGCATCAAACAAAATAAATATCAAATTTTTAGTTTAATAACATAATTCTTGTACAGTATTTAATACATATAAAAATAAAATTTTAATTATTCTGTATTAAATAAGCGGTTTCAAACGTAACGCATATAAAAGTAAGTTACTTTTATTTTCTGACGGCATTTATAATACAATAAAATGTAAATAAAATAATTTTTACTGATATTTTATGATTTAATGATATTTTAAGTATATAACAGAATTATTTTATTTGAAATAAAATAAAATTTTATTACATTCTTACACTGACAATTACATAATCGCAAAATGTGTTAAACAATAATAGGCCTATATTTAATACAATATAATTTATAATATATATTATTGTGTGTATGAGAATACGTTTAATTTATTGTGTATAGCGTTAGAGTATCATTATGCACATTATACTATATATAATTTAAATGAGCATTTATAAAAGCTTGATTATTATACCATATATAAGCCAATGAATGCGTTTAAATGCTGCTTACAATACAAAATAACTAAGTTTAAACGCTTATTTTTTATTATTTAAAACTATTTTAGCGATTATCTTCTATCTTTAATTAACTCAAAAGCTCGTTCATTGTTATTTTTATTATAATTACTATACGTGTAAACCTTTTTATTTTACATAATTTACACGTTAAAATTACAAGAAATTCTTAAACTATAAACTAGATATAAATTCATAATAATTACGTAAATATCCGGTTGTAAAATGGAACGGTTAAAGCCTAAGTTTATAATTTTTAAACATATTTAAAGCCGTAAAAATAAGTTATATAAAGAGTCAGCTTGAAAGATATATCGATTCAACCCATACTAAATTGTTCCTAACAGATAAGGTTTTAAATCAGAATACTAAACATTAATCTACATTACCAGGAAAACGTTTCCTTTCTTTCCACTGAACTCGAATCTCCTATCATTTATCTTGGTACGGTATTCATCTCCGATCCTATTTATATCAAGAAGTTTGCTAAGCTAAATGCATTCTGAATACAGAATGTAAAGACAACATTGCAGTCAAGAATTTTAAATTTGAATATATTACGATTTTACGAATGATCGCAACTCTTAATAAAGAAACTACGTTTGAAGAGATCTTCGATTTATACATAAAAATCACGTCTCGTGTCCATTTCTACTGTGTAAAATAATAAAATGTTTTTTTATGTATTTTATGTGTCGAAAAGTATGGTTCTTTACATAAGGGAATCGGTTTTGAACGTTGATTATTTGTTGTAAATCAATGATACGTAAAATGGGTCTTGTACTGTACGTAAGAAAATTAAGGCGATAATTTATAATTTGTTATGTTCAGGGCGCCATTTTTACACTCTGTTACAGTAATGTCTTATTTATTGCTTCTTATAAGCCATAAAGTAACGATAAATGACATCTTTATCTGCAACTTAACCTTCCATAATGGTATTTGCTGGAGACTTTAACAACTTTACCGACTTCACCCAACGTAATAGTATTTGTATGTGATATCAGTGAAGCAATTCGAACCTGTAGACGAATATTATTATTTTATCATATTTATCTTAGCTAAAATAATAATTAAAAAATCAAAACAAAATACAGTAATTATCTGTACAGAAAATTTGATATTTTTATAAGATTCCTCAATAGAATCTTATAATCTTCCAGAGAAAAAAGAGAGGTAACTTGAAAGAAATTTAAAATAGATTTCACGAATTTATTTATTTTTAACAAAATTTTCTATTTCGTTTTTTCATATTACCTGAGTTAAATGGAAGAACTGTGATGTCTTGGCTATAGGATCAGTCACAGATGTGCAAGCTGCTCCAAAAAGAACTATTTTTGACGGCTTGCTATATAACATATCGAATAAATTCTTCATACCAACAGCAGGATCACACTGAAAAAAGAGATATAAAATAAAAGAAAAAAATATATAAATACAGCATCTAACTTTCTAAACTATAATGCCATCCTGATGGACTTAGCATTGAAAAAAATTCAAAATGTAAGAAGAAGAGGGGAAAAAAAATATAACTTAGAAACACACTTTTTCTATTGACAGCTTACTTGAAGTAAGCTTCATATTGCAACATACAAAATGGCAAAAGTTCTGAATTTGATTCCAGAACTGATAACTTATACATTAGTTTAGGATGTAATGTTTTCAATTCTTTTAAACCACAGAAATTTTTATATAATATATTTTAAGTTATAAAACCTAAGATGTTTTAACAGAAATTTATATTATTGAATAAAAAGATAAATTTTTATTTTAACAGCTTTAAAAATAAACATCACATTTTTTTTTAATTAATTGTTTCGGTTATACTGTGAAAAAAATTTGCTTTTTACACGAATTCTTTCGTTTGTTCCAATGAATTTACAAATTAAATTTTACTTTTTTGAGAAATATTATTTTTGAAATGTCTAAAATATATTTATAACGTATATTTTATAATTCAGAAGATTTGTAATAATAAATTTGATATACTGGTTATGGATTTAAGTATGACGTATTAAAATCCTTATAACTAATACATATTGAACGGCCGGATGATAGAGACTGTCTATGTCTCTGGAGGACCCGAGATCGAATCCGGGCGAGCAACGCCAGGAATTTTTGGAGTCGTCTGTTCCGGATATGTGGATTCCTCATCACTCGCTTGGATCACCTTTATGGATTTGGTCAGCCTGGATGAATCCACAAAGGGGTCTTCTTAAGCCCTTTGGGCGCTTATAAAAAAAATATGTAGGCCTATATACTGTATAGTATAACCTCCGAAAAGCGGACATCATCGGATCAAGAAGTTTGTCCGCTATTTAGAGGTATATCGGTATATCCTATTCGTAGGGTCTGGGGATTGTAAAAATGTCCGTTAAATAGAGGTGTCCGCTATTGGGAGTGTCCGTTAATGGAGATTTCACTGTATATTCTTTAAGTAGAAAAAAAAATATAATTTTATTATATTTATAAACAATAAGTTTACATTATTTTCTACTTACAAAAATAATATCTATTTAATTAAATTAAATATAAGGTAGATTATAACATTTTTATGTATAATAGGGCCTATATGATTTACAAATAATATGAATATTTGTACTTTACTTATGGATGTACAGTACAAAGCAGGATCCACGAGTAAATCTTGTAAGAACGATTTTTACTTCGTTTGATTTATATAAAAGTTTTGTTGCTTTAATATTAACTCAAAATTGCATGTATAATATATACATACGCAGATATAAATTATGATATATTTAAAGGTTATATATAGGTTAAAATACTGTAAATTTTTATAAATATTTTACTTACTTTAATACAAAGATAAAAGTATAAACTTTTAATTAGTAAATTTATTAGTTTTAGTTTCAAAATTAGGTAATCATACCGCTTCAGAGCCCCTCAGAGGTTAAGAAAAGGCCCGGCTACTTACCTTTATGATGCTTCTAGTATATTAAAATTAAATTACATTTTTAAATATCAATAATAAAATTTGACAAAAATTACGTTTTTTCCCCCCTCTTAACTGACAAGAAATGCAATGAAATGAATAGATTGTAACAAATGTTTATGAGGTTTGAGGTGAATGGTCTCCCTGTAAATGGTCTGCATCAAACAAAATAAATATCAAATTTTTAGTTTAATAACATAATTCTTGTACAGTATTTAATACATATAAAAATAAAATTTTAATTATTCTGTATTAAATAAGCGGTTTCAAACGTAACGCATATAAAAGTAAGTTACTTTTATTTTCTGACGGCATTTATAATACAATAAAATGTAAATAAAATAATTTTTACTGATATTTTATGATTTAATGATATTTTAAGTATATAACAGAATTATTTTATTTGAAATAAAATAAAATTTTATTACATTCTTACACTGACAATTACATAATCGCAAAATGTGTTAAACAATAATAGGCCTATATTTAATACAATATAATTTATAATATATATTATTGTGTGTATGAGAATACGTTTAATTTATTGTGTATAGCGTTAGAGTATCATTATGCACATTATACTATATATAATTTAAATGAGCATTTATAAAAGCTTGATTATTATACCATATATAAGCCAATGAATGCGTTTAAATGCTGCTTACAATACAAAATAACTAAGTTTAAACGCTTATTTTTTATTATTTAAAACTATTTTAGCGATTATCTTCTATCTTTAATTAACTCAAAAGCTCGTTCATTGTTATTTTTATTATAATTACTATACGTGTAAACCTTTTTATTTTACATAATTTACACGTTAAAATTACAAGAAATTCTTAAACTATAAACTAGATATAAATTCATAATAATTATGTAAATANTTTTTAAAAAATATATACATAAGTAAAAAATTGATTTGACATTAAATTAAAAAAATACGCCTTTAAAATTTAAATATAAAATTTTAAAAAGTCTTTACAAGATTCACGAAATATATCATAAAGTTACCAAGGAAATTGCACGTAATAGAAATTTATTTCATGAATTCAATATTCAAGTAGCAATTGGAAATACTGCGCAAAAATGACATCACAATAGGAACTACGGTATATTTGATATATGAATACAATTGAAAGATAGACTGTTAGAAAATGATAGCAATTGATATAGCATTCGGGAATTTTCTTCTTATTATTTAACTATCAAATGTGACTTATATGTAATATTGACCTCTACTTCGTGCCATTTTCTTGCTGTACTTACATATGTTTAATGGAATGGTTTAACGAGATTAAAATTTTTTTTAATGATTAAATATTAAAACGGAAGCAGTTTTAAAGAGAAATTTTAATTCAATATATATTTTTTATAATTACATTTTATTAAGAAACTATTCAATATTATAAGAGCATCATAGATCTTTATTACACAGAGTGGCCCAAAATTCAATTAACCAATGTAAGGACTAAATCTCAGTTAATCATGTTTCCACCAATTCTGTAAAAGAAAATTTTTATTTATGATAAATATTCATTACTGTATCTGGAGCACAAAAAATACGGTTAACTGACTTTTAGGCTACCCTGAATATACATATACAGTGCTGTCCTAAAGTCAGTTAACCTTCACGCATACTTTAAACGTACGTGCAGTGTTTTATATTTATCAACTCTCACGCTTTTTACGTGATTTTCATGCATCCCAATGACTTCTCGTGTTTTCACGCTAGAGATTCTCATTCTCACGCATATTTGCCGAAACAATTTATTACCATAACCTTAAAAAACAATATCCAACAACTATTTATATAAAAAAGCATTTCTCTTTCAATAATTTCGCAAAAAAATTCGACTCAAAATGGCTGTAAATTGTTAAATAAAAGCATCAAAAATTGCATTTTTTCTACTTTGATGTTAAGATTTCTTTACCAGCAAAGTACTTCCTGTCTGATGTCACTTCCGATCGCGTGACGTCATAACACACTCAATATAAAATGTCATATATCTTGATAAGTCCAGTTTGACAAAATATGTCTTCTGTATATAAGTCCACTCGTGAATTTAAAATATATATATGTAGGCTATATAAATGCATTTTATACTTTTTATTTCTGTAATTTTTCATTTTATTTCTATTTTTTAATCGGATTTTTCACATTTTTTCACGTGATTTAGAGAAGATGCTAACTTATCACTCTTCTCCACCCATTTTTCTCAATCTTATAAATCTTGCATATCTCTTTCTCTCCCCCGTTTTGAGCATATTATTCTTTATCGCATCATTTTTCCGTTGTCAAAAGAAATTTAGAGTTATTTAATGATTAATTTCTTTAAGGGATATCACGCTAGTAATAAATGTTATATTGGATTTATCATCATATCCATCCAGTTTCAATTCTGCTGTGTCCAGAAAAAAAAACAATTTATGGTAATTTCTCAAATCTTGCCAAAATTCATAAATTATATTATGAAGCACCGCTAATGCGGGTGTTATGATTAAATTAATGATAAATTTTTCTAACTTAAGCAACAAATACATTTTTTTTTAATACAATTGATATATATATAATATTGTTTTTAAAAAGTGGTAATAGATGGCGCTAAATCTTTTTTGACATTTAGATGTTTTTTATAAAGGGAATTTCCTCGTTAAATTTAAATATATTCAGAAATTTAAACGAATTTAAAGCATATTTTTTTTAATTTTAGTTTTTTTAAGGTTATTTAAGTAATTGTGTATTAATAAAATCACACCTGAAATCTTATCAAGATTTTAGGAAGAGTTAAGGCTTTCCATAATTTTATAACTATGTATTTTGAAATACAGTATAGCATCGATTATCCGACTCAATTGGGGACTCGGGTTGGTCGGATAACCGAAAATAATGAAAAAAATACATTATTAGTATAGTATATTAGGATATCCCATGTAATTAGTATATTAGTATATCGCTATTAACCAACTTCCGTTGAATTTTCATCGATGTTTAGCCTAACAAATTTTTTTAAAATAATAATCGTCTCTATTGTATCGTTAAAAATTATTTTTAAATTATTTTGTTGCTTACAAAACAAACAACCATCATAATTAGAAAATTAAGTCTCCTTTAAATACTGGCCTCCCTTCAATGGTCGAGCCGTTGATGCCAGCTAAAACACGCAAAAATTTAACAAAAGTATCCAAGACATAGCCAAATATTGTAGCGCCACATCGCTAGCGGACATTTGAAATTTGCCGACTAGAACGGTCGGTTAAACGATGTGGCGGTTAATCGGGGGTCGGATAATCGATGCTCTACTGTATATATATATATATATTATTTTCGATGTTAAAGCTCTTAATTTAATCTGTCAGCTAATCACTTTGCTGTTTTTATATCCGACACGTTATTAAAATTTTACATGTTAATATGACATCATAATCACTTTTCAAAACATGGCAAAAATTGTTTATAACTAAATTACGTTCAGAAAAAAATGACATCCACTCAGATATAAATAAATAAACAAAATATTTATTCCATCTTTTACGACAGACTAATTTCTTTGGAAATGTCACACGATATTATTTCCGTTTTCTATTATAACCGCATCACCATTTTTTGAATTTTATTGATAACGGTTTCGGTTTTACGTAACGTGACTTTAAAAAAAAAGAAAGTAATCTCGCATTTTTAAATTCTCGATCAGACCGCGACGTAATTGGTGGTATTTGTATCCGTTTGCTTTTAGATAAGAATATATTGTTGAGTAATTAGTCTTTAATAATAAATTAATTAATTTTACCCTTACTGGACAAGTGCTGAATACTGCACATAACATGATTATGAGTGGAGATATATCTATGACGTCACCGGTCGTTATAGCAACCGGCCGGGATTGCTGCTTTCCAGCTAATGGCAACGTGCCGTCTGCAACAGTTGGTAAAAGACGCGGAACTTATTTTTGCTTCAATAAACAGCAAAACTTAAATTATTATTTCTGTAATTTTTTAACGAATATTTTTCTTCCTCTTTTGAAGTTATACAATAACATTTTTTACCTTATAAATAATTTTTGTTTAATCAGGAATTGTTTACATTATCTCGTTTTTTTTTATTATTAAAAAGAATTTAATTAATTTTTTATTTATTTTGTAATACTTAAAAAACATTTATAAATTGATTTACAATTAAACACACTAATCAATATTACAATATTTAATAATTACGCATCTCAAAATCAACCAATCAACTTCAAGAAAAAATTCGAATTTATTGATAACAACCAATAGAATAACAGAAAATTTTAAATTTTGTTTGAATGAATTCAACAAGAATATCTGATATTAGCAACTTTTAACTGGTATAATTTATTACATTAATAAGTAAATAGAATATAATTAAATTCTAGCAATCTAATAGACATTATTCGAATGAGTTTATCTATCCAGTCGAATGTGTTGCATGCTGTTTGAATGATTCCTTTCCTTCATTGTGCTAAGGTGATATATACTGTACTTGATTCGTTTGTCACTTTGGTATTTCAGATCAATCAAATAACAAGCTGATTGGATAAAGTGAGTATAGAATTACCTGACAAGTTTAATCTTCTTCGTAAATTTACTTCAAATTACTCATTCTCTGTATCTCTTTATGAATAATTTTATCTCTTTTAAGTTAGAATGATAACTTTTAAATTATTTATATAACATTTGTATAATTATCATTATTAACTTTGTTTAATTGAAATATAATTTTTTCGCTTTAGCTTTAAAAATTCAATTTAAAATCTTGGTAAATAATTCATTCTTATTTTAATGGCTAGCAAGCATGAGCGATAAATTAGTAAAACACTTCTCTTAAGTCAATTTATTCGCTTCCTTTGAATGGAATATAGTTTGTTAAAGTGATTGCTTGCCTTCAATCTAAACAAGTTCGCGATATCCGTGTTGAAACGTGCTTAGAACTTTAAATATGCCATTTTATTCTTGGTAATTTACCTCTTCTACTATAGAAAGTGGGTAACTTACGTCCTTCGAAAACTTTTCAACAATCAAAAATTTCAGATAATTAGCACGAATTCTGAAATTTTTTCTCATTTCTTTAATATTCTTTCTTCGCATTCTCATCTCTTAATATAAAAAATAATTAATTCTTATGAAAATTAAAAGCAAAATTGCCTCTTTAAATTCAAACAAAAAACTTTACGTTTCATTAACCAATTTTTGGAATATTCTCAATTATAATCTGATATATTTTTTTCCCTTGTTCTTTCTTTTTAATCTTATCTTTTGTATCAGTTTTTCTACAAAAAAATAATGTTTATGAAGTTTTTTTGGTGATTAAAAAAATTAATCTAACCAACAAGTTATTAAAATTTTAATCTTATTATTTTGTTCGAAAATTATTTATCTTGTCTAAATTTCGATTTCTGTTTAATGTTTCCTCCTCCTCCTTTTTTTTCTTGAGTTTTAATGCCGCAATGCACTCTATATAGCTTTTAAATTAAGTATTTGTAATTTGTTACTTTATTTATCTCAAGAGTGCAGTTAGGAACAGTGCAAAACAGTACCATTCGTCAAATCAATCGTTAGTAGCAGAAGATACATAGGTCCACACTTTAAATCTTACTTAGAACTAGGCAGCGGAAAAGGGGAGGAAATACTATCTTTCTACTATAAGACCGAAAAATTCAATTAACTAACACAATTAAGTCGATTAAATCTCAAAAATTGATCTAGTTTTGATTTATGGTGTTAAATATAGAACGGACATTAACGACAAAATGAGATTTGAATGGTTTTCTCGAATGACTTTCAAGATTCGTGCACAACAGGCTAGAAAAAAAAATCTATAAGGCTACATTCGGAATGTAATACAGTACAAAAAAATAGGAGGGAAAAAAGCAGCTAAATATTTAAAGGCAACAAATGTTTTCTAAAGACATATCCAATTAAATGAAGACTACAAGACAACTGCCTTTAGTATAACAGTATTCCGTTCCATTGGCATTACTGAGAAATCGATACAAGTGTCTTGGGAATTCCCACCATTACTATGTACCCTATACTGACTGTTTGAATAATTATTATTCAGTGTATAAACAGAGAGAACACGTAATTATTTTGATTTCTATTTTGCAAAATTTAAGATATATATTCGTTTTAATAATAAACACGAGAGAGAAATGCTGTTTAAACGAGAGACGGAAAGGGTACGATTAAGTATGCATAGCAATATTTTACACAGATACTAAATACAGGGAGCATTTTTAAATGATGCAAAATGTCAATAAGATATCTTCTCTCGATCGATAATTTTACCTTTGACTTTTAACTCAACAATTAAGATGAAACCGTACTCCCGTCACGACATCAAAACTTGAGTAATGTTTATTACCTAAACATGACAGACACAATACTTGTAATGTCACCTGCAGAGAAATATTCTCACTAATGATGTTTTACGAAAAAGAATTGTCAAAAATAGGAACTGCATAAATCAATTTTATATTTATGCAGAATATATTTATAACTTAAACCTTAATATATTGTTTTGTGCGTCACAGTTTAATCAAAATAACATGTCGTTAAGATAATTAACGAACCTTTTCTCTTCATCTTTAATTATCTCGGAAAGATGTTCTTTTTAATTAAAAATAACTAGTAGATGGGATTTGGATTATTACAAAGAACTGTTAAGATATAATTATATTAAAATTTTGTACTTTAAAATTCCGGCTTTCAACATTAAACTATTGGGAATTAAGATTTATTTAAACTTTATATTTAAGAAAGCTTTAAATGCCAAGTTATAAATAAAATAATATATATTTTAGTGTGTGAATGATGATTAATATAGTAAAGGATTTTGTAACTGAGGCCAAATCAGAAAATAATTTTTTTTTTATTTGCCGCGTTTGAAGATACAAAAAAATATGCTAATATATTTTTCTGTTCTGCCACTCGAAACTTGATCGAAAATGCAGATTTTTTTTAACTATTGAAAAATAAACGGATTTAATGCTCTGTAAATTTTCAGCATCGTACTATTTAGATATATGTAATTAAAGCTTAAGGTATACAAAGGATAAACAAAATTAAAGGTGTAAAAGATGGTTTATAATTATTTTTAAAATAAAGGGTTTTTAATAGTCTTCTAACTAAAAAAATATATAATAAATAGAATTATTTGAAGAAAATAGAATTTGCTTCAATTTGTTCAATTTATTCATGTTAAAAGAAATTTAAAATAGATTTCACGAATTTATTTATTTTTAACAAAATTTTCTATTTCGTTTTTTCATATTACCTGAGTTAAATGGAAGAACTGTGATGNTATATCCATTTAAATTGCTATAAAAAAGAATTTATAAAATTAAATTTTATAAATTCAGAAAATATTTAGTGACTTTTACATTTGTTCTTTGATGTGATTTAATGTAGTTTTAAATATTGTGGGGGGATTAAGATAAAAAAGTAAGACAATAATGCAACCACCATTAGGATCAATAAGATAGACATATTCTTATTTGCACATAATGCTATTTGACATGTAAAAGACATCAGAGATAATTTTTCTCTTATCAAATCACGCAATATTACAATTTTCAATCAGAAAATCGATGAATAAATTATTTAACTTTAAATCATTTTTATACTATTTATCTTCTACACTACTTTTCTCGTGCTTTAGAGAATTGACTAGCTACTGGATTTTAAAACATTTATTTCTTCTAATCTATTATTTCTCTTGATGCTAGAGAATAGCCTCTGCCTTCAATTGGTATTCTTACGGCAAATTCCACAAGAAAAACAAAAGAATCTTACAACGTTTTCTTCGTCAAGTATTGATGTTCACTCTCATAAAAAACGAACACACACACACACACTCCTCTTAAACAATCTATTGATATTGCTGGGTATCTTATTACGCCCAATTGGGATTCCATGTCTATATTAACATTTTGAACCCTGCTCGCTTTTTATGCTTCCTTCTATCTAAGATATTACTTCCGTGTGAAACAGTAGACAACTTATCGATGTTAATCCCTCATCCTGTGACGTACGATTTATGATTGGCTATATTGGTTGACATTTATTGGTTACATCACTCTAAGTACGGATGAAGGAACAATATGGCAGAAAATCAAAAATAATTTCTATACGATGAAAACTTAAGCAATTCAAACTACTGTAGTGTCGTTTCATAAACACTAATCGATTATCTGCACTGTTGATAAATGCGGATGACAAAAATATTGAATTGTTGTTGTCTGTGGCAACAACAACATCCGAATTATGTCATAGTAAACATTGAACACAATCATAGTAAACATTAAATCGCGAAAAAATATTTTAAAATCTTTAATTCTTCGTCTCGATATTTAAAAGAATGTTGGAGATAATTTTTAAAATAATCGAATATACGTGTAAAAATAATTGCGTTTTGCTTAATTATTTCAGAAAGTAATTTTTTTAATCATAAAATGAGCGGAGGTTTATTAAAAATAATTCCTCGATTAACCTTTCTCTCGTTTATATTTAGCTGAATAACCAAAACTGTAGCGAAATCGATGGTCATACCGACAATTAAAAGCGTGCACTGTAAATATCATGCCATCACGTGACGTCTGTATTCTACTTTTATCAGTGACATTTGCCCATCAAAGCGCTAAGAATCGTGACTTCCAATTATGTATGAAGTAAATGTGTTGTTCATGCAAATAAGCGGAAATTTTGTTTAGCCTCAGGTCGTTACAGCTCTAAGAAAAGCGCTTTTATATATCGGTTAATTCAAAAAAAATAAAAGAACTATTGAACAGTGATGAAAGGACCTTTTAGATGCTAGAAGATATTTTATGATGCTTTTATTAGCGAAATTAAATATATATATATATATATATATATATTTCTTATAAAATGACAAAGTGTTTGTATTCCCATTAAATAAATNTTCCTGTTCTAAATGGCTAGACTTTCTGCTAGCAATATTAAATTTAAAAAATATATATTTAAGTATTTCCTAGAAGATAATTATTATTGTTGTTATAATTTTTTTTAAGTTTAAGAATCAAAATTAACTTGAAAAATAATATTTGTTTAGTAGGAAAATATTAATATTTACTGGAATATTGTATCTAAATATTAAAATTTAACTTTGAGATTATACTAATTTTTAATTAAAATAATTTATTTATTTAATAAATTTAAGTAATGAAATATGCATTATTAACTTTATGATTTATTTAGTAATAATATAAATTGGTATTAAATATTTAAAAAGTAGTTATATAAATTTATAATAAATCAAATCAAGGAAACGGATAAACAAATTGGAAACAAGTAAATAAATTATTTCGAAATCAACTTTACAAAATTTGTTTTTTTATGAAAATCCTCTTTTTTTTAAACAATTTTTCATCTATTTTAAAAATTTTCGTAACGTTAAAGCTATTTATTATAAAAGTTTTATGAGATCCTAATGAGATTTAATGCTTTTTTTAACCATATGTTTGAATACTGTTTCCTTTCATATTTATTTGGAATAGATATTTAATTAAATTGTTTTATATAAC